GCGCTAGTTCGTTCTCACTGATCACAACAGAGAGCAGGTGCTTGATGACTTTAATGACATTACCAGCAATCCGAGACATTTTACTCCCGCGGTCCGCGAGGTCAGTAGTTTCTTCAGGTTCTACTGTTCATGCGCTATGGCGTCAGATTTCATGTAAACATGGAGCGAAGTAGATTTCCGCGGAGGAATCGAGTTGATTATAAAGCACTAAATGTTCTTTCTACAGTGGATTTAGAAGTTCATTTGAAAGGAAGGAGAAAATTTAAAAGCGGATCTAAAGTTTATTTTGTGGAGAGACTTATCAGCCGGCGAAGATTGAAGAACGAGGTATGTGTATTGACCCTTTTATGTTCCTGCAGCTATATTTTACTTCGGATGAAATTTATACTACAATCGAAGTAAGTTCATAAACAGCTCTATCTCGCTATTCGAGATTCTTGAACGCATTGCTGTTTTATATAAGAAAGAGGAGATTCAGTGACCTTAAGTTGAAATTCTAGGGATTTCTTTTCGAAATCGAGCAAAACATCAGACATTTTTTGACGATTCAGACTGGAATGAGCTCACAGTGATACAAGTTTTGTTTTTTATAATTGGCGCGATTTGGCGCTTGTAGGAGTCTGCAGATTGTTAAAACAGCGGTAAAAAGCGTGGAAATGCTAGGCTGCTAAGCTGAAGTAAATATGGCGACTTTTTTCACGAAGAAAACGATGGAAAGTGGTCGTTCTTCGCGTCCTACAGGACATTCGCGAGCTCAGGTAAAGGTTACGTCTAATAGTGAAAAAGCCCTATTTTCAAGATTGATTTGCGGCCTCCTATTTTATCATGGAAGGCTTTATTTAACGTATTTGAAAGATCGTAAACTGAAGAAAATTTTGAGGGGTCGGCACCGATGAAAGCATGAAACACACGGACAGCTCAAAGCATGGAAGTGAAGGTAAGTGAAGGTATTTGGATGAAACTATAAAGGAAGTACAACCGAAGATCTTTGTTATTTTACCTCTATTCCGCGGCTCGACGAATAAACGAAACGGTGAAAAAACTTTCGCTTCGTAGTGCAGTTGCATATTATTTATCAACGAGAGGTCGGCACGTAGAATTTAATTTATTTAAACTGCCAAAAAATAAGATTTTATTTCAGATCCCATACATTTCTTTGTATCTTCGGGAAGCCATTTTGAAAGTAATCTTTGATTGACGTACGGTATTTGAGACGCAATATGACTCGCATTGCTGGTAATGGAACGACGATAATATTCAACGCTCAAGCACACCACTCAATCAGTCCTGCTGCCTCGAGGTAGCTGTTGTAGCGCTTTTTTGCATTACCAAGCTAAGCAAGGATCTAGAAGTAGACTTAACAACCGTCAAAAAATGAAAAGGCTTTGTTGAGTTATTTCTCTGCGATTTATATTTAGTTTTTTAAAATTTCGAGACCTTAACGCGATGTCAAATTCATTATAAATCTTGCGCGTGGAGACAAGTTTATCGGTAGATTCTACTACATATTTCATGGTTGATCAAACAATTCGAAAAACTTACGCTTCTGTTGTATCAGTATTACCCAAATCCATTACTGGTAAAAAAGCGGCAAGAATAGGAATAATCTCTCTCCAAAATCTTTTCTTTGGAAGTAGGAACAAACTCTCGCCGTACTTTCCAGCGAGTTGCAGTGTTCGCCCCGTAGCGATCCCAGAAATCTGTGCGTAAACACAAGGGTCGGATCGGATTACTTTCAACTCATTCATTACAGCACAACAAAAGTCGAGCACTTAACAGAAAACAATTGCTTGGCAAGGTTGTTAAATTATTTTTTCTCAACAAAGAAGTAAAATCAATTTGGTGAAAAAAATTCATTTTTCCCCAATGAAACGTGGGAAGTGGCTTGCGACGGAAGAGCATCCTTGCATCACAAGTCTGATAAAAAAATATGTAATGTAATTAGTTCGACTAAACAATTTCATTTAATTTATTCCAAAATTATTGTAATTCATTTATTCAGTTTATCTCAAAGTTCTTTCTTTTTGTTTTCCCTGGAAGGGACTAGCATTTACTGCAGTAGATTAATATTTTTACATCCGCAAACTTGCTACACGATATCATAAACAAGGGCATTTCACTTATGCCTATGAATTAAGCGTCAAGAAGGATGTTGTGTACAGCACAAAAATCGTACCTCTTCTTTCAGGTAGAACAAGAAAAAGCAAAACGAAGAAGAAAGGAAAAGTAAACGAAACTTTATTATTAGGTTTAAGTTTACTGCCTGTGTGTAGAAATTTTCTTAGTCTTCGTTGAACCACCCTGAAATAGATATGGCGACATGAAAATTTACCCACGGGATGAAAAAAAAAAGGTGTTTACTTTAGTCATGGTTTTTGAGCTACAAAATTCAGTTCAGGCTTAAGCTGAAAGTTCTGGAATTTTTGTCATATGGTTGGATGAAATAAATTTATCAAATTTATTTAATTATTATTATACCTTTTAAAATTGATTATTTCTGCTTAAGTCAATTGTACGGCAAGCAGGCACGCGGACCTGTTGTGAACAAATATAGGTGCATCCGGCTGGCGAGTAGAATTTCGTTGTTATTGTCATAAAGCTGGCAGTTTCAAGTTCAATTTCAAAATATAAGGATAGTGAAGAAGGACTTATGGAGCTTTTACGACGGCCAAAAACGTACAGTGTGGGCAGACACTGAGAAATTCGTTTGAATCATCTTCATATTGTTGCCTTCTGCAAATCACCAATGTTCAAATTAAAATACTTGTCGGGCAAGAATCCTTTAAGAAAAAAGCTATCGTGAATGAAACGAATATTGAACAATCCATTTTGATACAAAAGTTCACTTTTACACCAAAGCATAGCAAAGCAAAGTATACTTTGCTCTCTAGGAATAATACCAAAACAGGCTCTTCATGAACGTAGAATGAATTATGACACCATTAGTCGTATCATTAACGGTGACTTTATCAATAAAGTTGCCATTTTTTTTATTATTTACATCCTGTGTTACATTCTTATCGACTCACACGTTTACTTATGTTGGCTTCTCAAAACAAAAGCAATATTGGTGTATTTAATTTAGGTACTGTGTTCTTTTTTAGTTGTTGTCGTTTTTTTCATGTGTGTGTGTCGAACTCTTCTAGAGGGGATCTTTAATTCGTTGATACGTAGGTATCTAAAGAAGAGAATTTTCGTTTTGGGAGACGTATTTTACATATCCGTTGTTGACATGACGTAAAGGTATTTTAAATGTGTGACTGAAATAGACATTACACCTCAGACAACAATATCATTGAATGAAACAGGCGAAGGGCAATATCGATGACGATTTGGGTTAAGTGTCTCATAATTAACAGTTGCTGCATTGGATGTAAAAAATGAATCTGTCTCGAATTCCTCTGTGTGTAGTTTCACTGATTGTTTTTAAAATTGGTAAATAAATAAAGACACTCAAAGTCTGGGACTGAAATCGTTGCCCCTCGCATGACATTACAGCGTTTTAAAATATCACCTAACGGAACGATCGAACGACAATATCATTGACGAGTTCCGTTGGCAATTGTTGCTGTATTAATCATAGAAAAAAAAATACGCCTGTCTGGAATGATTTTATATTTTGATAGTGATTGTCTCATTTGCCGCCTTTCAAAAATGTGAGTTACCTTGTTTTTGGCGAAAAACCGCTCGAAGTTGGTCATCATTGACAAGTAGGAATTATTGCGAGCTAAGAGACTAAATTGGTCCTACTCCAGGGGAAGATGGTCTACCTCGAGTCATTTTTTTAAATTCAAAGTATCCAGCAACCGAGTGAACCAAATTTAAGACTCAAAGAGGCTTTTTTAAACCGAAACTGTGAGTGCACTAAACGTCATTTTATAGGAATCTTTTTGCATTTGAACCAACATGGAGGAATGAAATATCTCAATTTAATCCTCTCTTGTTTCAGAAAATTAAAAGTGGACTTAAATTTAAAAATCCCAACGTAGTCCTTAGTCCTAATGATATAATTATCATATTTCATGACTTAAACTTCATTTCTTTTTGCGCACTTCTTTTCTTCTTCCCACTGCTTAGAAATTAGCTGAAACCATCTTATCCCCTCTCTCCTCCTTTGTGAATTTGATTTTGATGTTACCAGGCCTGCTGGTAGACAGAGGTATTTAGTAATGTTTGAAAAACGTTTAAGGAGCTACATAGGGTTTTTGACCGCGCGAGATTTGGGTGCGAACATAGGGCGAGCTTAAAAAGCGTCAACATGCAAAACAAACATGGCGGCTCGATACGATCGTGCCATTGTCATCTGAAGAGGTGCGTGAAAAACACTTTAACTCAATACAGTTTTTTTGGGATAAAATCCAGAGTTTCCAGAAATTTCTACCGAAATATTCATAGGCCTTTTATACCCGAAAAAGAGGTCAACCGAAAAGAAAACACCGTGGGAAAGATTGCCAAAAGACGACAGATTCGAAAGTCTACGCATGCTTACATTCCAATCTCAACGAAGTTCTATTCCATTACGTAATATTTTGCGACAAAGAAAAAAGGGTTCTTTCGAGTAAGATTTATCGCGTTTCCTTCGTTGGAATTCCTTACGCTAATTATCACTCGCGAGCGCCTCCCTTCGTGGAGCCTTAGCTTAATGACGAGAATTATTTTGATTTTATTGTTACTACAGCAAACGATACTCCGAACCTTGGTTATTACCTTTTGGCGTCCGCCAACATTGAGCAAAAAGCCTATGGAGCCTCCTTAAATGCAATTATCGGCATTGTTAGTGTCATAAAGCTGAGTCTTAAGGCTGATTAAAAAAAGAAATCGAAAAAGAAAGATCCGAAGAGGCTTGGTTGACTTCACAGAATTTAAGCTGGTATAGCATGATTAAACTAGCTGATATTTTTAAAGAAAAAAAAGAAACCTTTCCCACACAAAGTGTAGTTGCTTTTTCAAAAACACCAAACATTCTCAAACGGTTTGAAATTGATAAATCTCACGCTTCATCATACGTTTTCAGCAGCGTGCAGTTTACTAGGAGAATATTTTCCCTTTTTATGCATCAGAAATAAATCAGCTCTCCTCCTTGCCAGTCGTCTATGCCCTGTTGCACCATAGCTGCTCTTCAACTGGCTTTCACCATATATGATGTTTAAATTCACCGCTGAGCAGGAGTTGACGAGATTGGAGACAGATGTCAGAGTGATCCCTGCTGCGTTTCTGACCCGCATGTTGCCCCTGGAACTCAAAGAACCGCTGCGGAAGACATTAAGGATAGCTCTACGGAAGTCTTGCATTCGAAATGAATACACAAGGGTGTTAACGAACGAATTGCTATACTGAAGTAATTTTATGACATAAACGAGCCTGTGAGATGGGTTTTTGCAATAGTGGCAAAAATGGACAATTATAATGATAACCTCAAAAGGCATCCAAGTCACAATGAAAATTCCTGTGATAAGAAACAACGTTATTGCGAGCCTTTTGTCTTTTTCAACCCCTCTTCGACGTCGTCTTCGATACTTGATCCGGAGCCACAAAGCACTGTAGGCAGAGCAAGCCACTGTAAGCGAAACGGACAAAGATGCAACGGTTACTGTGTGAACGACGCCTGAGATGAACTTAAATCGAAAAAACAAATAGAGGCAGCAGATGGCCACTGCCAGGATCCAGGTGCCCGATACGGCAACTATGTAACACTTCAGCGGAGTATAATGACGATACTTCCACGGCCAACCAACGGCATACAGTCTCTCGACAGATACGACTGCTAAGGTGAAAACAGACGCCATGCCAGAGACAATATCGCAACTGTAATAAACGGCTTGAATAACTTCACTTGTACTCCACAAATCTGGATTTACAAAATGGAAGATATAAAGTGGCATTGCCAGTGCCCCAACCATCAAATCAGCCACTGCAAGGGAGATGAGAAAATAGTGGGTTGGTCGTCGGTTAAGGCTTGTTTTTGTAAAAGCTGCGATAGTCACAGAGTTTCCAATGATTATGGTCAGCGCAATCAAACCAAAGGCTGTGGTTAACGCGATAGACTCTGCCTTGGTAAGGGGTGTCTCCGTATCCTTGGAACTTGGCATCTCTGCACTGAAAAGGGGAGAAAAATACAAAAACAAAGATTTAAAAAAATAGAAAATGGAAAACATAAATCAATTAGCCATTAGGAATTTCCTGATTTAACTCTTCAGAATTTTTTTTTCTCAATAAACTTTTGGGTCATTAGGTTTCCCTTTTTGACCTTAATGTATGCGGGTTGCAACATACGGAGTGGACTCTATTATACTTCATAACCAAGGCTTTTGAGACCTCATGCGGCTAGGTTTCCTTGGAGACTCTGAGCCAGTATTTAAAATGAACTATTCATCAAAAAAATCCAAATTTCATAAAATAGTTTTTTAAAGTGGAACTTCCATTAAAATCCACCTTTCTATAACGGCCACCACTGCGTTTCCTAACAAGTCACCAAAAACTATTAGAATCACGCTACCTCCTTTTTTTTTTCTTTTTTTTGATAAAAATTTTTACACTAAACTTTAATTCACGCTTTCTCTGCTGTTGCTACATTATAACTGAATCTTTCGCATAATCACAAACCAAAGCAAGTCTTAATTTTTTTCGATAAGGATACGCCAGCTTAAAAAGTGAAACTTATTCATGGCAAGATCTTCAGTGCCCTATATGTGGACGGCTGTCGTGGAGAACAGCAGACTTAATTAATTTTCACGACTTGAAATTTTTCAATTTTCATATTGTATAATGAGCAATGAAAACAACGCCAATGTACGTATGTGACCACACTGAAATGTTCTCAGCAGTCAACGAAGCCCAGGCTTTCAAGGGAAGCTTTTAACAACCTTACCACACGAATATTTTCGCAACATCCTTGCTTGCATTAGAGCACGCTTTCATGTGGGTTATCATTGAGATTCAGTCTTGTTGGAAGGCGTAAAAGGTTAAGCAATCGCTACACTTCTTTGCCTTTACAAAAAAGCGATAACAAAATTTGTGAGGTTGGTCTAACATGTTTTTAACCAAAATTTCCCTCGACCGATTATTGACAGCTGCTTTTAGCAAAGTGCATAAAATCTCAATTTTAGACATTTTAAAATAATCCAACAGGATGTATATATCATATGATATTTTATTTGACTTGAATTTTTAAAAGAATATTCTGTCATCCTTGTAGCTTGCTTTGCAATCAGGTTGAAGGATTTTCTCTCCTCTTTTATCCCAGTAGTATTCAGGAGACATTAACACGCCCGTTTTTCACATTTATCTCTTATGATGAATAAATTTCTCTCTAAGAGCGTAAAGTTACATTCAAATGTAAAGTAAGGAACTCCGCGAGACAAAACACATGTAAAATACTCACAGGCTGCTTTTTTTTCCGCTGTGGTTTGGATGACCCTTGTCTAGTGCTCCAAGCTAACTTGTTGTTGTGGTGAGAAACTTATGAATTAATGAGGAAAATAAATAAACCATCAGACAGGTTTGTGAAAAAAAACTGTTGACGTTAAACCTGATCACACCTTTGTCTTTGCTGAGTGAAATTTTCAGCTTGGATAAAAACCAGAGAAATGCTGGAAAACCGCGTTTTGCAATGCGATATGGGTTGGTCTCAACAGCCAACTCCTGAGCCAGCTGGTTCTCTAGTTTTTTTTTTTGGTTTTTTTTTTTCTCCTTTTTTACCATTGAAACCTTTTAAACGTCTTGGTTTGTAAACTAACATAGCAAAAGGTAATGAATAGTGTCGTTTTTTTAAATTTCATTTGCATTTTAATTAAATGCATTTTAATTAAAAGTATTCTCCGACGATCATCGTTGAATTTTCACCAAGCCGAAGCATAAGTGGGTCTCTTTAGACTTTCCTCATTTGGAATTTCTCGAAACTGAACTTCAAAGAAGATGCATTTCAGAATATAAAGTCAATATTCCAAGAATCAGTGCCAACAAACATGAATGAAAATGAATTTAAATGATGTAGGGAAAACTGGGAATATTGCATTTGCGTTGACTCTGTGACAGTTTATGTAAGCAGAAGAAACTGAATGAAATGTTATAAACTTAAATTTGCCTTGAATTACTGAGTATTGTATTTCAAAATCAACCATTTTAAACCAAAAAGCAATTGGTTTACGGTTTTGTCCCGGATTTCACAGAATAATGTGAACTGATTTGGACACCAAAATTCAAAGGACGCAAATGTACATTATTTCAATGTGAAGGGAATTTTAGCATTTCACACAGTCAGTGGAATAAAATTTTCCTAATCTTTAAAAGACTGCGTTCTAATGAAACTGTATTCTCATATTTGTAAGCATTCACTATGTAAAGTATTGTCATTTCGCCTCTTTTACACAGAGAAAAAGTAAAAATACACATCATTGAGACTTATCTCAAACTTCTCTTCCAAAATAATTTCTTTTTCTGTAATTTTTCATACCGAAAATTGGAGGTTAAATCGAATAATGAATACGTTACCTTTGTCGCGGAAAATGATTGTGGGATTATTTACAAAGACTCTATATGTACAACTGATTCAGCTCTGTGGAAACCGAACGCTTAGTCTGGACATCTGAAAGTTCATATGATATAAAATATTGAAATTCAAATTTTTTGGTAATTTTGTGACAGCGAAGAAAACGATAACTCTCTTGATGGGAAATAGTCGCCCACATTAATGAACAAACACTTCATTTCTATCTGTCAAAGCGGTAGAACAGAACCTAAATATGTTTAGTTTCTGAAATTTCACCATTCCAGAAGATAAACTTGTTCTAAATTGGTGTGATTTGTGTGGGCTGAAAAAAATACTTTAACATTTTAGAAAAGCAGTTTTAAGCTTGGTCAGAATTAGGAGAAACAATGGAAAAACAAAGCTATTTATTCAACCAACGCTCTTAGGAAGGAAGTAAGCGAACGCGTCGGTCCTCAACGAACGCTCAGATCGACATTGCCCGTTGTGAATACCCAATTATGTCAGTATCTTTTTGTATAATGACAGAAGCTTATGAATAACGTATGTACTTGGATATCAGCTTCGACGCAAGCTGAAGGACAGCGCACCTAAAAACCTTTCTCGTTGTCCAAACAAATCATTACAGGCATTCCTCAAAGAAACGATAAGGTAAAATAAGGCGCAGATAAAAATAACACTTTATCTAAATACGTGCGTCAGAGCTTTGATGTGGAAAAAGTGTCTAGAGACGGAAAAATCATTCCAGAAATAAATACTTGGACCTTAAAATCAATCAATCTCTGTCTTTGTTATATTAGACAGGAATTCGAACATTTTGCTGAGCGAAGGAAGTCTTAAGTATTGTCAGAACCTTTGAATAATTCATTTATAAGGTAATTTGTAATTGCCAAAGCCTTGAGAGCGACGTCAGTGTATCTGCCAATGAAGCTTCGGACGCTGCTACTGTTTAGTCAGAAACGTAAGAAGCATCTGACCTTGATCTATGTAATAATATCTACTTCTCTGTGTGTGATTTCAAAGATATTTCTCACCAGAGGATGCGTAGGCTCCAAATTAACTTTACGAACATTTCATTGATGACAAGACAATTGAAATGAAGTCAAAATAAAGTCAAGTTCGACAGGCCATCATTTATGTGCACACATGCGCAAAGCTCGAAACTGTTCTAATCGGGTTGATCCAAGTATGACGTCAGTACCGAGCATAATTTTTCTCTTGTCAAACAAAGAAGCCACGTGACAGTTCTAACATGGATAGGAATATTGCAATAGTTTTTCTTTCAGAAGAAATAATAATTATATAATAAGTCCTTAGCATTTTGTTGAAATGAAATGTCTTTGTAAGCATAATACATAACACAATAGCATTTAATTCTAGATCTTATCAGATTCCCCTAGGAGGGGAGAAAGGTCAGAATAAAATGGGATGGAATTGATAAGAAGCAAGGCCTATATCGGGGAATCATTTTTATAGCATGCTCTAATGAAAGCAAATGATTTGCATGGCTTATTTTTTTTAGGTAACTTTCGTTTTAATTTGTTCTCATCTACGATTCTGTGATTCCCTTTTCGCTCTTATCAACAGGAGTGGAAAAACGACCGATATTTCTTAACTAATAATCACATTGAGACTATCACTCATCACTAAGAATTTGCTATCTATCTATCACAAATGCTGCAATCTCATTGGCTACTTTATTGGCCATTTACATCGTAATAGGTAGCGATTAACCAAAAATTCTTGGTTTTAAACAAAGTAGGAAAAAACACGAGTTTTTATTTTTTATTTCATACAAATCAAAAGCTCTTAATTATTTTTGTATATTTTTAGATAACATTATCCTTACAGTCTATAGGAGATCTGCAACGACCATATTTATGTTATTTAACCCCACGTAAACGAACATTGAAGGATACTGGGGTTAATTGTACATAAAAATTAATCTGCAATATATCATTAACCACACAGGAACATAAACTCACTCTATCGAGCATTTCCGAGTCTGAATATCGAGCCAAGATTGTTATATTTTAAGAATATATGCAAAACACATGCGCCAATAAACATTTTGCCGGTGACCCTTTATGATATTTTTTTCTCTCTTTTGTGCCACTTTTTTATGAATTCAGTGCGTTTATTCAAAAAGTGCCGACAATGTTGACACAGGTGAAGATTCATCGAAAAGTCTCATCTTTAGTCGATGTTTCTTCAATTTATGTTAATGTAGACCTATAATGAAGTATCGTCGAAGCGGATAACGATACATTTTGTATTTCTTGAGATGACTCAGAGGAGGAGTTTTCTTTTAACCGTTTTTCTTTTCCGATAACATAATCATAGTCCGATTTAGCGGCTTTCAAACGAAACCGCCGGTGTGAGACTTTGTTTGTTTTTGGTCTTCTGATATATTTGCCCCTAACGGATTTAGGATTCAATATACTTTCATTTGCTGGCCGGATTTTGGACGAAGATTACTGGAAAATACTTTTATGTTATCTATTTAGATGACAAACGTGAAAGAGAATAAACAAAGTCGTTTGAATTTAACCTAGTATGCAGTTTCATTGCTTTCTTGTCTAACCTAAACTTCCTCAATTATTGTATTATTTGATTGTTGTCATGTATAAACTGTGAATCTAATACCTCCTAAAATATTCAAATGCCCAATTTATCTATCTAAAGAACTTAAATGCTTTCATGTGCTTAAATTCTGATTTCTTTCTTTGGGTGTGTTGTTACACCCCTTGAAAATTAAAGATGATTTTTGGTCTCAGTTTTTTTTTTTAATATTATGATTTTTATCTGAATTCAATGTCGGCTTATTTCTTGGTAGGTAGCTCCACAGTTTGCAAAACGACCACCTGTCTAGATTCAAAGCATACAAACTCTGTTGTCTTTCGAAATCAAATAGCAATCATTTCATGTCAGTAACTTGGCAACGATGCCATCTAAATGGATTTTTTAGTCCTCAAAGTAAACACTATTGCAAAACAAAAAAGCTGAATCGAATAGAAGAAATCAAATAATCGGGGTAACACGGTTGACCTTTACTTAGGCAAAACGGATGCTTTCAGATTTCTCTTGGAGTGAAGGTTTTTTAAGGACTACCATTTTATCGCGTTGGAAGTCAATTATTTAGCTTCCGATTGACTTTGAGGTACGTATGGACATTTAGTCTATTGAATACTATACTGAAAAATATTGCAAAAAGCGTATTCTTCGAATTAATTTTTTTCTTACTCTTAAGATGAATATTATTTTAAACTAAATGTATTTGGTTATTGCGAGTTTAATTATCTTATGTTAAGATCAATATGGATTTTAAAGATACTTACAATGGATGTATTTAGTAATGATAATTTTCTTCTGTCATTGTGCTCGTAAAGTAATTAAATGGCAGACTTTAAGTAGCTTGACCGGTTGGCACGTTGTATAAAATCTTTTATCGTCCACTGTTTTCAAGTTTGATGGTGCCCTTCGCTTTAACACGTATATATTTTTCTTAGTCCTATTTTTAACTTTCGACGTACAAAACCAGGACTAGAGATTATTATTCAAGGAAGTTTTAAATCTGACAACTGGCAATTTTGAATTTTCTAATCTGATTCGATGTCAAAATATCACGTAGGGCCATGATAGTGCAAATTACGGAAATCCGCTAAAATGCTGGATATCTTGAGAACTTCAAGGAGAAGATGTATAAAAGCTGAATAAATCTAAGACTGCCGGGAATGGATATTCAATTCCTAACGCATAAGCCTATGTATCGTGAGCCAGCAAAGGCGTCCATCACTCACTGTATTAAGATAACTGTTTAAATTTTTTTTTTGTCTTTTATACAGCCATTTCCGTATGGTCAAAATAACAGCTAATTTGGTTCACAAGGCTGCTTAATCTCTAAAAACTCAAATAAAAACGAGGGAATAAAAAAAAGAATAAAACTCAATGTAGCGATTACGACATTTTGAAGCTTTATTCAAACAGAAACTAAGTAGTCCGTAATGTTCACCATGCATCTTTCTTAACAAAAAGTGAACCGGTCATGGATCTCGACATTCTATTCTGGTTTTTATATACTGATTTTCTTTTCCCCATCTTTCAACTCTTTTAGCTCTCTTCTTACCTTAATTCTAGAATCCCTCGTTTACCTCTTCCTGTTGCAAGTTGCTATAAAATTGGTTGACGGGAAAATGAAAACAATCTTAGTGCGATTTTAGTAAATCGAATCTTGATAAGTTTTGAATTCGTGACAAGTGCGTATCAAACACTTTCCTCCTATAACTTTCGCAATGGTAGACAGCTGCAAGCAAATATAATTTGTTTTATCTTTAATGCATTTTAGGCGTCTTGCTGATCTTAAAGTCGTCAGAATTTCCGCCTATAATCCATTAAAACGACAAATGCATTCGTGGAGAAACCCAAGCATCTACTTTCTGAAACGTAAAAGTTTGGCCCTCTGAATTGTTTTTTCCCATTGCAAAGCCCCCTGTTCGAGATGTCTGGCTTTTAAGTTACAAAAGGTCAAATGATTACTGACTAAATCATTTTTCACTCTTTCTTCACAGATTAAAATGTTTAAACTCCCGTAGAGAAGGGTTGAAAATCCTCCCTGGAACTTTCTGATTTTAACTGCCACTTTGGAAATGAAAACAATGTGCGTTTAATATTCATAAGTATGTTGCCTTTAAATCGTATGCGACACGTTATTCAAAGAGAAAAAAATGCGGTATTCTTAAGATTCGATATATTTTGAAGTTCTCTCTTTCGAACACTGAGTTTGTTTTATCCGCCAATAAATTGAAGATGAAATAGCGCGTAATGAAAGTATGTACAATCGGTAACCATGTTGCAATTGAATTCCCTTCCGAAATGTTTTTGTCATTTATTTGTTTAAGAGCTGAAGTGGATCACATCTCAGTAAAAGCAATTATGAATTATAAGTATTACAGCTAATACAAAACTGCAACAATATATATCAATAATTTCATGAGCCGTTACGTATCCTCAGCAAATTTGAAACCTAAGCGTTAAATATATGTACCAATCAAGAACAGAGATATATTTGTAAATTAATAATTATACGACTGTTTGCCATGCTGCTACGCCAAGCTCACTAACGCAGAGGTAACCGATGGGTTTTCATGCTGTAAAAATAAAATAACTTGTGATCCAAAAGAAACCACTCTATCTATGACAGAGGTTATGCTGACGTATCACGGGTTTAAAATTAAACTGGTGGAAATCCTACCTACTCATTCCCAGTCGACAATTTATTTTAGTTAAAAAACAAAGGAAAGAACATAAAATGAACGGGGGGATAAAATATTTTGAAACAAATCATAAAAATGTTGAATCGATCCCATTGTCTTGCACATGAAGAAAAAAAATGTAAAATTGTCATTTCTGGAGTTGCAAAACTTTTGATCGTGATGTTTCCTAGGCTGCATAGTAAGTACGGACAGTTTTACGCAAACTTTTACCGTTCGCCTCAGAACTCTCACCGAAATGGCAAACTAAAGTAAACAACTCCCACAAGGCAATTTAACTATCATGTTATGTAAGAAAGTGACCCAATAATACACACTGAAAATCACAATTAATTTATTACCTGACTAATGAATATTTTTTGGTTTGCTGTGTTTGTTTTTAGTTCGGTTGTTTTTGGTATCTTTTCCATTACCACTCTTCAATAAAAGTAAATAAACATAGCATTTTGAATATGAAAACCTAATAATATAAGTCGTTAGGTACTTATGGTAATCTCACTTATGTGTAATATTTTCAAGCTTTCTCGACGGAAGCCGGCAAAGTGGTTGCTTTGGTGTAAGTTCATTAAACGGTGGCTGTGAGGCTTTCTTTCTTCCTTCAAAGTGTCAAAAAGCATGTTCTATTTAATAAGAACAAGATAGTTATTAAATTCGACTTCACTGCTACATGAATAAGTCTTCCGAGAATTCCCTGTTGAAATATCGGGGTTATTACTTGCAGAGAAACTTTTAAATTCAGTACAGTGATCTTGAGGTCTGTATCTCTACAATCGTGTTAAATTATCATATTTTGGAACCATGAATAAATTTTATTGCTCTTTTTTCAGACTCAATTCATCCCATATGGCAAGCTCTTTAGCAAACAGGACACAAGAAGTCATCTTTTCCAGGAGAGCAAACATTGCTTGGAGTACCATCTTTGGCTTTCTCGCTGTAATTATTGTGGCCGGTAATGCTTTAACAATTGCAGCGTTTACAGCCAGGCGACTTGTTCGTAGACGTGCTGTTTTCTTTCTGATCAGCTTAGCTATGGCTGATATGATGGTTGGAGCAGTTGCCATACCGCTTTACATCTATTTGAGCATTCAGAAAACCTTAACAAAGAGAGCTGTTCACCACATCTATGAAGCAGTGGACATCCTGTCCGGATTGGCCTCTGTGTTCACACTGGCACTGATTTCTGTTGAAAGGCTGTTCGCCATTGGGTGGCCTTTGTTTCACCGCACCCTACGTAAACGAGCCTACTTTTATTTTGTGGGTCTGGCCTGGATTTCTGCCCTAATCATATCCATCATAGACTTGCTTTATCACTACAACATCGTGTCTTACCTCGCTACTCTGGACATTGTTCTCACTGCTCTGTGTACTTCGTTTGTAGTTACTTGCGCTGCATATTTGGGTCTGTTTGTTAAGGTTCGTTCTCGAGATTATAGTGTAGTTGGGAAGGAACAGGACAAGAGACTAGCAAAGACACTATTCCTTGTAACTGGAATGTTTATGGTCACATGGCTGCCTTTTCAGTGCCTTCTGTATGTGGTACACTTTTGCAAGACATGCCCCTTCCCTTCTCAAAATACAGTGAACTTCATTAAACTATTACAATATTTCAATTCCTTTATAAATACGGTTATTTACTCACTAAGAATGCCTGAATTCAGGAAGGCAATTTCTGAGGCTTTTAAAGGTAGAAGAAGTCATAATCCTAACAAAGATAAGAATATTTACCTCAAAAACCTTCAAGGAGACACACTGAGTGCAGTTGGTGGTGTTCTGGGCTCCTATTCGTCACTAAATCTACGCCTTTGTATGGGAACTGAAAACATCGTCCTATCAGAATTGAACTCGTCAAATCTTCGAAGGAAGTGTTTTGCTTTTAATAGCTCTAGAAATTTGAGAAAGAGCTCCAGCCGTAGAACTTTCGTAAGTGTATCAGTAGTTTAAGCTCATGGTCCAACAGATCTTTCGGCTGTTACGATCACGTGGACAACAGAAAATGGTCGTGACGCGAAAAAAGGTATCACCAGGGGCTGAACAAGATGAAATACGATTTCTGATTTTGACGCCAGTGGTGATTAAGTGAGAGATCACTGGCTATTAAAATGGTTTTTATAATCGGAAAAATGCTGAACACGAAGTCATATTTGTCCTTCAAGGTGAAGTAACCGTAACTTAGCAGTTTAGCCGAAGAAGCTCAATTTGGTAATTCTGTAAGTTCCATAACGTTCTTTCCATTACCGGGATCTATTTCTTACAACATGAACAACCATTTTAAGATGGACAAGGCCATGAGATAAAGTCATGAAATAGAGATTTTCTGAAAAGTAGCTTTCTTCTGCACAAAGTTGTATTTATTAGATATGCGACGTAGGCTAAATGTTCTCTTAGGAGTGTATAATTGTTTAGGAATGGCCGTTGTAATTGAGCCTTTGCGCGTGCGTTTTACATGTTAACTAATTCCAGAATCAATGTAATTTGTATCTTTTACAAATTTCATGTAAATATCATATAATATATCAAATCGACTACAGGTACGATTAAGGTGATGACTTAAAGCTGGAAATAAATTACTATACAATGATTAAATATCATATAATATATCAAATCGACTACAGGTACGGTTAAGGTGATTACTTAAAGCTGAAAATAAATTACTATACAATGATTAAACCAATTAGTTGTGCATGTAAATAGGATCAAGCAAAAAATTTAGAATAAAAAGGAAGGAGGGCTATCACAAAATTCTACCACAACAAAAAAATATCAAGTTAAATGTCTGCAACAACCAAGTCTTCATTCCACGCTGAAGGCTATTTGTGTTGCTTTTGTTCCAGTGTCTTATATATTCATAATTTTATCTTACTCCTGTCCTACTTTTTAAACAGAGGTCAGCTAAGTTGCCCTTGCAAATTAAAATGTATCACCCTAATCTCGGCCAGTGGGTAAAGTGCTTTTCAATGCTGTCATCCTGCACAACCATAAATAAACAGTCTTATTAATTATTATCATCGATTGTTCTGTGGTCAGGAAAGAAAGATAAAGGTTTATACCAATGTGCCTATAATTGTACAGATCTTTCCATAAATTCCATAACATTTTCCTTTCATTTTTTAGTGGAAAACGATGCAACTTTTATTTTCTTTCGTTTTTCCTCCGATTGCGGTATAATTGTATAGATTTTGCCATGAATTCCATAACACTTTTTTCGTGGAAAATAATGCACCTTTTATTTTCCTTCATTTTGCCTCCGATTGCGGTAAATAACACCCAATGACATTCATTAAAGAAAATTACAAATAACATCCTGTGTCAGCGTTTCGTAAGTTAGACCTCGGTTGCAAACAAAATGAAATGAAACAACGGGGCGAGAGGGGAAGAATTTCTCATTTTTTTTTTTATGTTTTAACCGATTTTTCTGTGATTCCGGAGGGTTTTTGTCGCGTTTTCTTACCGCACTGCTTGGTTGTAGTACAATAACTTATGGCCGAGATAGATTCAAAGGCGGTAAGCCACAGTGGTCGGGAGATCTTTTGAATGGGATAAATCAAATATTTGTTTGGTTTCAAATTATCATCTTAATTGATTGTATTGCAGAAGGGTGAGTCTACCAATTGAAACATTGCTTTTCAAATTTTATCACACCAGTGACCTATTCTTGTAATTAAACATAAGTTTTTCAAAAAATTATTTTCTTCACCGGATGGCATTATGTCATTTCCTTGATTTCCTTTTCCTTCCAATGTTTGTATTGTAACGATGGTTAGCACAATAAAAACGTCTTATGTTTACAGATAAACATCCAGGCGCTGTATAAAGGTCAGTATGAATTGTGTCTGGTGCAAATTCGTTTATTCAGATTAGTCAACAATGTATTTTTGACGCTTTCCGATCTGCACAAATGATATAGCTAAGCATTCTTAAATCAAGAGATGGGAAAAATATTTCAGATAACATTCTCACATCAACAGTCAGTCGTTGGTATACCCAATAAGTGAGGAAAGCTCTAAATTGATATCTTTTTAAAAAGTTTCTCTCTTGTATCATTTTATTTTTCATTAAAATTTCACTCCTACTCATGGAGGGATCTGACGTATTTACCGATAAGAATTTTGCTATACTTCTATCTTAGATCCCGTCATAAATAATTGCGATAAAAAAAAGGAAAACAAATATTTGTTCTTGCTGTGTAAACGAACTCTATAATCACCCATGCAGACTCGCTTCAACAAATTCACTCCATGGTAGTCTAGCGATTCAGCTGAGCTTATGCTGATACTTTGGCCGTTTTGCTGCTCTTGAATCATTTCAGAAGCTATAGACCTTGACTGATGTGACTTATACACCCAGTGGCCGTTTGATAATGACGACAAGACGATGGATATAGTCTGTTTGAGCTGCTGAGCAGTGGCAAGTGCTCTTAAATGACCCTGGTAGGATTTCATGTAAATCTTAAACAAGATATTAGCAAATCTTAGAAAACTACCCTGATCAAAACCGGGAAAGAGGTATTTTAGGGCAAATTACAGATAGAAAAACTACAATTACTTCGTTGATCAATCATTCAGATTAAGAGTTCCATGTAAGAGGTCTGGAAATCGTAAATCGTACGAATTTCAGAGAAGCGAAAATTGGAGGGGGTCAAGCGATTTGGCATCGTTGACGTCTTCGGAAAAGACAATTCATTGTAGCTCACTTAAACCACTTGGGCTGAGTTGATGTTCTAGGACACCCAAACACTTTTCTAGCTTTTGTTTTGTAGTAGAGATTGAGCCCAGTATGCTTTTTTGGAACTGCATTTGAGAAGAAAGCGATATTTTTAATTCTCAGCTTATCACAGAGATCGCGCCATGTTTGAAAATTTGGGCAAAGTTCACCCCTTTTAAAACGTGTATGCTACTTACTAACATAATCGACATAATTTTCTGCTCATTTTTTTTTCTATCGCAATAAAAAAAAATTTGCGTGGGAGAGTAACGACAACAGGCAAAAAGTAGCTTGATCGAGTGGTGTGTCGATTCTCTGTTTGATTCCTTCTTCTGCCCTTTTTATTGATTGATTGACTAGATGATTGATGAATGCTTTTAAGATTTTTTTCTAAATGATTGTTTTTCTCCATTAATTGCTTTGTTGATCGATGATGCTTTAAGCTAACATATATAAACAAAATAATACATTTTTTTGTTGTTATAACCTTGGCGACGTACAGCTTATGATATTCCAATGGATTTATATGGCATGTTTTTAAAAGAGCACATCGAATCGATGAAGCTTTTAAAGAAAATTTACTAATGGCATTTATTTTATTTATTTCCCATGTAACGTGGATCTAGAGGTTTTCTCCACAAAATCATCGAACAAAAAAGCTAAGTCCTTTTTACTTTCTTTCTCTCTCAAAATCACAGACATCAATTCACAAAAGGACTCACAATGGACTTCAACCAATGGAATATTATTTGGAGTATCTGCTTTGGAGCAATTGCCTTCATGATAATTATTGGAAACTGTCTCTCCATCATAATCCTTCTCAAGCGCAGGCTTCGCAAACGTCCGCATTACTTGCTGATAAGTTTAGCCATTGCGGACCTGTTGGTTGGTGTTTTTGCAATGCCTATTTACATGATCATCGTGATGTCTGGAAACAAATTTGTTACAGTGCTTGTTTTTGATTGTGTGGACATGTTCACTGGATTTTCCTCGGTGTTTACCTTGGTTTTAATTTCCATGGAAAGACTGAGTGCAATCGCGCAACCTTTGCGCCATCGACTGCTTACCTCACGAAGTTACATCTTTGCGCTGATAATACCGTGGATCCTGGCAGTAGCAGTGACGTCTTCTCGCCTGCTGCTACAGTTAGCCATCATAACAAAACAGCAGTTCCTGTGCATTATTATCTTGAGTTTATCGACCCCACTGTTCCTGTTGTGTCTGGCTTATTGCATCATTATGCATAAGGAAGCCTTACGACCACAACTAGGTTTCAGAGCAAGGAGCGAAGCCAGGCTGTCTAAGACAGTGTGCCTAATAACCGGCATGTTTATATTAACGTGGATGCCATTCCAAGTATTGGTCATCGTTATTCATAAATGCACTGTATGTAGCAAAAGCGTACCTGTGTCAGTGGTATTCTTAATTAAGCTTCTGCAGTTCAGCAATTCGGTCGTTAATTTCTTCATATATTGTCTTCGAATGCCAGTGTATCGAAGGGCATTGTCTGCATTGTTTCGGAGCTGCAATTGCTTTGTCTCCCAAACTCAAGTGCACCCTTTCTTTCGGCATCAAAACACTAATGTCACAATAATTTCCCTCTCGAGTTCGGTGTCTGTAAACCGCTGCAGGCAAGGACAAAGTGAAAACTCAGAAAGTATAATGGATACGCAAATCAATCAGATATAAATCTGTCTCGTTCGCATTGAATCTTGAGCTTAAAGAGCAAATTCAAAGTGTACTCTCCCAAACGATTGACATTGCGTTTTTGAAAATTTGAAATAACTGCTTAATTTAATCGGATCTTAATTATCTGAAATTATTTGAAAAGCGGTATAGATGCTTTACAATGTAAAGTCAATCTGGTCATGGTTAGAATCTCAAGCTTCAGAAGTAATTAAGAGATAATGTTGACTTCCTCTTAATTTATTGAATTACACGTTATCAATCCAAAAAAAATGGCCTGTTTACAGCAGGAGAGGAACTTTCTAGCGCATGACGTGAGTCTAATCTGTTTATCAGGTGAGCGAGTCAAAGTCTAATTACTGACAACCCCCTTAGTGGCTGACGAAAATATTGACTTAGCTGATTGCGAATATTGACTTAGCACTTTTCTACACAACTTCCAATACTTAAGTTCATTCCTGGCCTATTGCGTAAATCTTTTCAAAGTTGTTACAAGTCTGAACTATCATGATAGCCTTCGTACAGCTGCCTTCAACCTTCAAAAATATTTATCTATTTGTATTTTTCTACTTCAAAGAGGACAATCTGTAATTACCTTACAAGATTTCGACGTATATTACTACTCAGCTAAGAATTCAATATACTGCGAAGAGGTGCATCTTTGATTTTTTTCTTGTTGGCTAAGTTTTAAAGAAAGATATGTACATAAAGTAGAATAACACATGAAAATAATTACATTGCATATGTGATCACTGAGGTATCATACGTAAACAACTGATCCGCCTTAAACTTAATCTCCATTTCAAAATAACTACTTTAGGTCTCCTCATGGGTCTATTGTAAATAATTATCAAAATGAAAATAATATGGCGAATGAGAATGAAAGAAACAGATAAGAATAAAAGTTATTGAGAACATGTATGGAAGAATAGGGAACTTCGTGCCTGTGATCTTCAGCTCTTGTTTATCTTATAAGAATAAAATACTTAATTCGCGGATCATTTCACTGATTTGCCGGTTTTTTAAGTCGGTGATTCTCATTTGTGGTTGTAAAAATGAAAAATATGATGGAATGGGAACAAGAATGAGAAACACTAACGTATGCACCAACACACGAGAAACGCTAATGTATGCACCGACACCATGGCAAATGGAGACAATCTGTCGGTAAGTTCTGAGGATCATATGATATAAGTATATGGAAGAAAACAAAAGGGGCATAATTTGATAATCAAACCTTAGTCCTCAATTTTCACCTTCATATTCCTTGCCTTATTGACGTTTGTTCCAAAATATAGGATAGACATAAGAACTTTCAGCTTTACCGCAGTGGCCTCGCTTTATAATTACATGAGTGCGTGGAAATAAAAACATGCCACACCACTGTGGGCGGAAGGGATAAACATGTAGGCAGGGTTCAGTTATTAGAATGTTCCTAGCTCTGCCAAGGTTAGTGTCAAAACAAGGAAAGTTAGTAGAATTTAAAAAAAACACACACACACACTTTCAGCATGCCCACAGCTGGGGGTTCATAATTACTTTAGTAAATGGAAACCAATGAAAGCCCTCCATTGTAAAACTCTTAGAATGGTGAAGTAGCTTTTGCTGAGAATAGCATTGAAATGAGATGAGTTGATAGTGTAAAGCAAAAGCAAGCAATGTAATCATGTTCACGAAACACGAACGAAACCAAAACAAGGGAAGTTGATTGATCCCATGAAACAAAGGCACGCAGCTGCAAAGCTTCGTAATGACTTAAGCAAATGGAATCTATAATAAACAATAGATACAAATGAGGGAAATTCTTATCTGTGAGGAACTTCCCAAAATTATTAATTATGTGCTGTGTAATCCTTAGCTAAGCCGATGCATGAAATTTTTTCGGTTTAAATTCACTGCAAATCTTGACAAGAATTGATGATTTGTGAATGTACACGCCGCCATTTCATAGCGACTTATTTCCATTTTCAAGGAAGTTCCACTTGCTTGCATCACTTCACAGTTTAATTGAGGTGAAAAACAAGGCAAATGCTATTTCAAAACAAGATTATGGTTTCTATAGAATTTAGATAGTCTCTAATACAGATGACGTGGTAGAGTGTTTCCTCAGTCTGCTATTTATATCATAGTGTAAACGTGTAAACAAGGAACAAAGGGCTTACGCTTGAAACATTAGCTTTAGAAACTCTTTACGGTGGCCACTTTTCATACCTCCACCGACGCAGCAACAAAGCCTCTTGAGAACTTACCCCCTTTGTTTATCTTAGCCATATTATAATGATGGGCTAGTTTCTGAGACATTTTTCCGTTTCAGTGTTAGGCAGCACATACGTTCACTATATTTAGCCCCCTCTGTAATAATATATTAAAAGATTATGCTTGCAACCCTGAATATTCTAATGGCAATAGTAAGTTTAGTCAACGCTATGGGGATTTGTTTCAACGATGATAACAAGAAACCAATGCTTATAACGATTTCATATCCTTCAAAACATAAACCCGGCTTACTTGTACTTGTGAAGTTTTGCCTTCAATTGAAATCTGAATCAGAGATTAGGTACGATTTTACTTCTTGACTTGTCACGGCATGCTTTAAGGTTAAAAGTACTTTACTATTTTCCCCTGTGCTTTTCCAAAACATTGTTTGTCAGCAGGATATATCTCAACAAGCAAAGAACTATCGGTGATACAGGCCGAGCCATCGTGTTCCTTCCGGCGACGTCATTTGCCTTTTAAAATTTTTTTTCTAATAAAGGTTAACTTATCAATGCAGAAATGATTCTTTCCCTTTAACTTTGAGAATCGTCATATCAGATAAGCCATTAAAAATCTTGGTATTGCTTTCGGTTTTGTGGAGTAAAGAAAACCTTCCTAACAGTAAAAAAATATATTAAAAAAATTGAGGTAAAACCATTTAAAAAAGAAAGGCAAACGAAAAATGACGTGAGCACGACTGTTAAGCCCTTCAAAACCTTTTATCCTTCCGTATTGGCTTCAGTATGTGGTTATCGCCCGCATCACGAAAAATTGCTTTTAGATTACCTTTATATTTCAGTTCCTCGTATCTGTGGATGCTTTATCAGTTTTCCTCCATCAGTAAAGATATCGTGCTTCAACTGACTCCCACGTTTAAGGTGAGAACTTTTACTCTATGATGGCAATTTTCTCTTTCTTGATTCAGATTGAGTTTGTGGTTTAGATTTTCATCCCGGCCATAACTATCCTTAAGCTCATTTCGGATTAGTGTCAGGTTTCCATCCGCTTTCAAACCCTTTAAATTTTGCCCCAAGGCAAAGGGTGAACCACTGCATTAAACTGAACATAAGCCTCAACACAAGACGAAGCTACTCAAGTTGAGGTTATCTAAGGTTAGGTGCGCTATGTCAATAATTATTAAGTTGAAATCGTAGGTTAGCTTAGAAGCAATTACACTAACCTCGAGCTCTCCCTATAGTTTGTCTCTTTTCCTGAAGCAACGGCAAATACTGAAATAACTTTGTAGAGAAGATTAAAAATCAATTTGTCAAAGGAAAGATTTGTTCAAAAAGGAATTTTACACGCTGACGGTGAAAAATGAATGAAAATTTTACCTCTTAACTTCATATCGATAAACAATTTCCTACTAGCGATATGTTTCTTTCATATGTAACGAACCCCTGAAACAAACAGCCGTGCAGTCATTTGATTAAGCACGCATAAATCATAAAATCTGTATCGCGTGGATCAGAGATGAAAAGAGGGAAGAAAAACCAACATTATCAAAAACAAACTTAGGTATAATAATGATAGATGACAGTATTTGAGTGACTCTAGATTGAATAGGGCTTTTACCTATCTTACTTAACGTTGATTTTAATTCACTTGCCAACCTTCTCCATTTCCGGCAGACAACAAAATGGCAAATGGATTCTCTCCCAATTACCAAAATAACATATCTCTAATGGGCATCAAAACTTACAAACAACGGGTAGGTCTTCTCTACTTACAAATTTTTGTTGTGTCATGATGAGTTAAAATAATTTTTCCTCCTTGTTTCAGGAATTGCTGCCCAACCCCGCGCTGAAGATGAACTTCAACAAATGGAATATATTCTGGAGTATATGTTTTGTATCCACAGCAGTCATAATAATCATTGGTAACTGTCTCTCCATTTCAGTTCTATTGAGACGAAGACTTCGTAAGCGACCTCATTATCTACTTGCAGAATTGGCCATTGCTGATTTGTTGGTTGGAATATTTGCAGTACCTATACTTATGATAACATCTGTCTCGAAGGAAAGAGTTTTGTCACGTTTCATCTCTGATTGCGTAGACATGTTCACAGGTTTTTGGTCAGTATTCACCTTGGCCGTAATCTCTGTTGAAAGGCTTTATGCTATAGCACGACCTCTCCACCATCGACAGCTCTCCTTTAAAAGCTACATCATCGCTATGGTAATGCCATGCGTCTTCTCTGTTATCGTGACATCAACGAGAGTGTTACTTTATTTTAGAATCATGACAAAACATCATTTTGTAGCTGTTATGATCATTAGCTTATCGACTCCGTTGTTGATGTCTTTTATCTCCTACGGCATCATCGGGAATTTGCAGGCTTCCAGACCACAAAGTGACCACAGAGCTAGAAGTAACACTAAGTTAGCTTATGTACTGCTTTTGATAACAGGGATGTTTGTTGTAACGTGGCTACCGTTCCAAATTTTGGTTATAGTGTTAAACGTCTGCATACCCTGTAGGCGTATCCCTTTAGCGGTTGTATACGTAATCAAGCTTCTCCAGTTTAGTAATTCTTTCATCAATTTTATCATCTATTGTTTAAGGATGCCAACTTATAGGAACATAGTTCATGAAGCTATTTTGAGATTGAAATGTAGCCTTAGAAGGCAACGGCAACTTCACCCTACCACATTCAAGCAATCAAATATCTCACTTATTTCCTTCAACAGCACACTCACTTTACAAAACATAAAACGTTTATAATATGAAAACAGTCTAATAGGATGATATTGGAGGATGGTGAACTTTCTTTAGCGGACTCAAAGAGACTCTCTGGCGACAGCTTCATGTTTTTATCATGTACTTCTTACTGCATATAAAAATAAAAATGAAAATAAAGCTAGAGCTAGAAGGAGGGTAAAGTTATCCAATACGCAGCTGCTTCTAACTGGGACTTTTACAACATGACTGCCCTTCACAATTTCAGTTGTCCATTTAAGTGGGTGTATTACTCAGGAATCCTCACATTTGCTGTGCTTTACTGGACCGATTTAGTCCATATATCGTTTGCAAGCCGTATCCGTGATTGAGCACTAAGGTAACTGTACATAATCTGTTATTACACGGATCATTTTTTCGGCGCACGATCAGCAATAATCCCTTTTTAAGTGCCATAGCAACTTATTCTTTTTGTTTGAATTGAACCAAGGATAAGCAAATCAACATAATGGATATTACTTCAGATTTAACATAAGTTAACGTATGACGTTGATCTTTCTACATGGGATGGTCATTTCCAAGCGTAAGTACCGAGCAATGTTGAACCATCTCATGATCCTACTAGAGAAAACCCATCAAAATAAAAGAAGAACTTCCGAATTGAAATGTCATATGAAACCAAACAATAGAATCCTATCGGACAGGTATGTAACCCTTTACCACAATGCAGTTTTCTTATAAATCCAAAGCGAAAGCCGCACGTTTTTCACTATTTAGCTGGCTGTCTGGCCTCTATAAATTACGTCTCTACATAAATAAACACACACACATATATATATACCCATACATACGTAAAGACATAAGGAGGCAGAAGTTTCACTTCCACAAGTGTCTTTTTTCTTTATCATTTGGATACCCTCTCGTCTATTGTTGAGTCGCAACTTCCATAATTTTTGTCTTTTTTTAATCAAAATACAAACCTTAGCCCTTTTCCTCTGTCACAACACTGAATCCCTATTTATTGCAATTGATATGTAAGGAAGCCCTCTAACAAATTAGCTTTTTCCAGGTGCCCGGCCTCACGATATGGTGCGGTGAGCTCCGTCAACGATCAGTTAGAATAGCGAGCTAGCGGTCTCGTGGATGACAATGTGATTTTTATTTTCCGTACATGCTCTTTTAATACAAAAATGAACGTAGTGGAGGGCGTTCGGAAATAAGTCAGTACCTTGCTCTCTTCGCATTTGAACCCAGTCTCGCTCAATGTCAAAGGTCTCGTTGTTGAACCAGAGCTCAAAATCATAATGGAAAGTTGTCTGTAGGTAATTAAAACGAAGAATAGTTAAAGGATGCTAAAAAATAAATAAGAGTTGTTTGGTTAAATTTTCCTATATTCTTTGCTCTCCGTTTTTTTTCTCTTAGGGAAATATTGCCGGGGATTTCAATTACAGTTGCGAAGTCTCTTCTGTCGGGTCGAAACTTGAGGAATGAAAAGGACCTGTAAAGGTTGTCTTTGAAAGCACAGTGATGCCTCTACTAAACTGCGACATTTGCTCTCCTCTCTTCCACGGAAAGAGATTTACAAGCGTCTCTTTAAACTCATTTATCCTTAAAGGATAGACAATAAAGTTAACGACTGAATTGCTGTAATGTAAAAACTTGATGATGTACACAGCTACCATAGGGAGCTGTCGACAAGAAACGCAGAAGTTAAGAAAAACAACCAAAACTTCAAAAGGCAGCCACGTGACCAGGAAACACACTGTCAGCAACATTAAAGTCTTGATTAGCTTCTCATCACTTCCGGTTCTATGTGGATTTGGTGGTCGAGATTTAATATTTTTCCAGATGGAGCGATAACAGCAAATCGTTATGGTAAGCGGACTGCTCAAAGAAATTATTATAAGGATGACAAAATGACACCGGGTTATAATAGAAAAGTGTAACAAGAGTCTTGTCGACGTAACCATTGCAGCTAAAATCCACGGTAAAGCAATGCCAGCAACATAGATCCTGTTACTTAGCGACCGGTGACGTAGCGGCCAACTTATGGCATGCATTCCTTCCAGAGAGATTAAGGTGACGGTGAAGATCGATGCGAGCCCAGAAAACATGTCGATACAGTCAAACACAACAATAAAGAATCTTGTGGTGTAGTGGACGTGAAACGTTATGTAAACTGGAATGGATAATAGTCCGACCAGCAAATCTGCTGTGGCCAAGCTCATCAACAAGAAGTGTGGACGGTTGCGAAGTCTGCGCGTGGAAAATATGACGATGGTCAGCAAGTTTCCAGTAAAGATGAAAGAGGCCAGTAAACCGAATGAAAGGCTCCAGAACATGTTCCAAGTATTGAAGTCCATGTTCTCACCAGAGTTCCTCGGATTCCCTTGAAAGGTTTACATTTAGTATTAAATCAATAATGAGGGAATTTGAACCAGTAAATAAAAATATCGCCTTTACTTAACTAGAGTATCACTTAAGAGTATTTTTGTCTGGGAAACTATTGGCCCTCGAACCTAACAACAGCTACAGAAATATATTTGAACGAAAACACTATTTTCATGTCTAATTTAAAAATTGAAAAACAATTGATTGGACAGCTAAAGAAAATTATAATGCAGTCGGACGGTTATATTATTTTGATAAAAATATAAATAGAAAAGTTTGCTTTGCAAGAAAATTATTGGATTTCTGTCATTAAAGTTGAGTCATGTGAATAAATTCAGCGCATTGAAAATATTTTTAAATGCAGTTTGCTTAAAATAGGCTATCTTTGCACGGAATAAAAGGGGTAAGTTTCTAAAGAAACTATGGTGCTGTGTCGGTGGGAGAGTGTAGCAGGTAATTTAGTGTTAACAACTGAGTTGAAAACGTAAATTGGCCACCGTAAAGAGTAAAAAAGCTGACGTTTCGAGCGTTAGCCCTTCGTCAGAGCGATTTGACGAAGGGCTAACGCTCGAAACATCAGTTTTTTTACTCTTTACGGTGGCCAATTTACGTTTTCAACTCAGTTGTTATTACTAAATTACCAGCTATCTTGGCATGGCTTCGCAGCTTTTCACTTAGACCTATTGACTTCGTTCAAATGAGTGAATATATAAATAATTTTCTCTTTCTCTCGCGTTTATCACCGATTAAAAATAAAATGCAGCGCACCATTTCAATAAAATTGCTTAAGAAAAATTTTTAAATGGGTCGGGATAGGAATATTGAAATCACAAGAAAAAACTTGACAGTGAAGTAAATCTCAAGTTATGCTAACATTGACCCACCTTAAGAAAATCTGATCATTCCATTTACGTAAGGTATTTCACTAACTTTTTACAGTGTTTTTCTAGCCGAATAGCTCTATTCATATACTGCTTAGGAAGTAAAGCTAAAACTAGATATATACCATGAATACACAAAAAAAAGTAGTTATCAATGTCCATGACATCACTCTGTCAAGGGATATAGTTTTGCCTTTTAGAAATAATCATACATTTCTTTTAAATTTAAGCAGGTGAAGGTTTCACTTCTTTAATCCTCCTGAGATGAATGAATGCAACAAACAAGGCGCTTGACTATGTAAAATATTTGCCTAAACTTTGTAGCTGTACTGGGATGTCCGATACAAAACTCTTCAGTCAAAGACAGCTTCTCGACCCTTTTTCGTCAATTTTGCCGAACGCTTCCAAGTCGATTAAATGAGGTATGCAAGTCCGTGCTATTTTCCGAGTCTTTATGAATTTAATCTAAACTCCAAAGTATAACTTGAGTTTGTTGACACAATACTATGCTTACAATTTGCGCGTCTTCTTCGCCCAAAGCTGGTAATTATACGATTGATGCACGTAAGATACGTTTCCTACGCTTCTTGGGGTTGTCCCACGCATATTTTATAAAATAATTTTGAGGGGCTTTCTGAGTGAAAAAAGAAATACTTGGTTATAAGGATCATGAATGTTTTCCCACCAGTCTTACACTTTGCTTATGATCCTATTTTCCAAAAGAAAAAAAAACATGAATCTGAATGAAGGAGCTGAATGAATGAAGCAGCTGCGAATGCAAATAAGCGGAATTGGGCTCGAGAAATGGAAAGCGCCTCGTCATTGGGAAAAACAAAACTAGCAAATAACGCCAGCAGTTCTTTCACCTTAAGATGAAAAAGCATATCTCATTAAGTACAACTGTTTAAAATTAATTAAAACTTGACACCTAAAACTAGAACGAGGAGCAGCAGCAACGCAAGTCCAATTTACAACGTTAAATGATGGATCAGACACACTCTTTTAAAGAATACATTACAACTACGTTTTTAATTCTGCTTTATATCCTTTCCTTCTGACTCATTAGATTAAAAAATGGTAAAGGTACTGTCTGACACAGCGGTTTTTTAAGTGCACGAGGCATTCGTACACATTTGTTTTTTTGCTTGTGCGTTTGTTTATTTGTTTGCCTATTTCCTTTTTCCATATTCGTATAGCTCGGTTTTCCTACTCTAAGAGTTCAATTTTTTTTAAACAAGAGAATGAGTGAAGACAAAATAACTAGAAAAAGCACCTGCTTGTATCACGGAATCCTCAAGGGATAAACATTGACGAATGAGTTACCAAACTGAGACAACTTCATGACATTAGAAGCTAACGAAAGCCACCTCCAAGAAGACATGCAAAATACAAATATAATGTTCAGAATCTGGTGCGAACACCAAATGAACTAAGTAATATAACTTAGTCCTCATTAATTTTAATGATTTTTTTTTGCCAATTTTTTTGGTTTGATCCTCTGCCTACACTTAGTTCCTTCCCTTTCAGAAGCGCATGTTCCTGTTTGATCGCAAAACATTACCGTTTAACTTTTGAGCAAGTGAGTTAAACAGGATTCTATCACTTTTATCATTTTTGAAATGTATACTACAATTTGAGAAAATGCATGTTTTGCTTCGCGAAACAAACAAATCTATGCCACTTTAATGCAGAGGAGGTTTAACTGAGGTTTTGTTTTAAATATTATTTTACCGTTAACTTAAGTAAGTATCAGTGACATATTGAGTAACTAACATAAACTACAAAGTGAGGGCAAAAGATGATTTGATAAAATTCCATCCACTCTTGAACTACACCGAAGAATAAAAAACATAGTTAACACCGCGAATTAAATATTGTGGCTCTAGGACACAGTGCGAGATGAGGCAAAAAGGTACCGAAAATTCGAAACTTCATTTTTAATTTACCTGATTTATAAAGAGCCACTTCAGTCTTAATTGAGAATCTCCAAAACATGCAGTGACGAATTCATCATTAATGATTATGAAGAACAACCTGTTACCTTAACTGAGAGTACAATTTTCAATTAGATTAATGACATTTAGATGTATTTTTGATTTTATTAATACCCACTCTTGGCTTCAAACAAGCTCTCTCTCTGGAGACCGGCTTACAAGAATTAAGAAAAAAAAGTGCCTCTCTGTATTCCGGAATCCGTAAGGAATAGACAACGACATTCATTAAAGAGTTAATGAACTGCATCATCTTCATGATATAAAATACTAGGTAGGGCCAAGATCAAGTCCCGCAGAATGAAATTATAATGTTTATAGCCTGATGAGGACCCCAAGTTGGAAGGAACGTTCCCGTTATTATAAACAGTGACTTTACTAATATCTTGTTCGGATCGTCTTCCTGTTCTTCGATCGGAAGTCTGTCATGTTGTTTTCTCCATATGAGGACATAAGTGATGATTGTTATTAGAAGGGGGGTGAGGACAATGTGTTTATCAGTGAAAGAGCAATTTTTTTGATAGTCATAAGATCAAAAGAAAACTTTCGTTTAAGAAAGCTTAAAGAAAAAACATTGTGCAAACCTAATATTGCGTTATTTTGACTACCGTAAAATACTTCGCCGATCAAATATTTTAAATTTGCGAGGTCCAATTATCGGCAAATATGCGGAGTTCCATACATTGACAATAAAGTTGTTCTCGTAGCGGGTATCCTTCAATTAAAAAAGAAACTGATGGAGCGCTATTTGTTAACGCAATATATAATTATCACAGTTTCAATTCGAGTAAAGGATGGTGACATTCAAAGCGTTTTGTTTCCCCATACAGTTCTTTATACTATTGTTAACTTTAAGCGAAGCAAACTACTGGTAAAGAATAGGAGGAGAAAACAAAAAAAGAATGAACTAAAATGCCGAAAGTTGAGAAGTAGCAAAGACAACGACAATTCGATGGCTTTGAATTGAAAGAATTATTAAAATGCAGGCGTTAATGGGGCTAAAAAAGCATATGAGTGCATAGTTTAACCACCAATGAGGTCACCGATTGTCTCAAACCCGCAGGTATATCTCTAACTTTCATCCACCAACATCCTAATTACAGGGCCCCCTGGCCAAATCGTAGACAAAGAATTAACGAGATACATACCCGTAAATTTTTTTGACATTAAACTAAGGTGTTACGAAAGAAAGTAGAATCATTGCAAGTAAATTAAAGAAATTATAGTACTTGAGTATGTGATGGAAACCCCCCGGGTGGAGTATATGGGTCATTTTTTGCTGGGTATGTGCAGCCGGCTCCTAAGAACCTCTGCCGCATTTTGGCCTATGTTGTGTTAGCCGTACTTTTGAATTTCCCTTTTGTTTTTTGATACACTGATATCCTTGTATTTTTTTACACGGATGCGATAGAAACTATTTGGAAAAGCATTCCTTGAAATAGGAAGTCGTCGTGTGTTTTAAGCGAAAAAGATCGTCAAGTGATTAAAACAACACCAGCCAGATTATGGTCACGTGCGCGGAAACGACCTGTAGAAACCGATCATATTTCATTCTTACCATCAAAACAGTCACGTTTGCATAGAAAAGTAACAAGATGAAATGACCACAACGAGAAGACCAAAATTGGCGTAGCTGCCTAAACGTCGGGAAAAAAACTCTGAAACGAAAGAAATAATGCTGTGAATTGACATTTCTTCAATATTATGGGTACATGTTTCCGTGGAAATTTCAATGTCGACAGCTTGCTCTGTTACTCACAAACTCTTCGTGATTCTCGCTGCTCCTCGTTATGTTCAGCGCATGGACGACGATTAAAAGACCCTTCAAATTTGGCCTTTAAGTTGATCATAACACTAATATGCAACATTCGAAGTCCATTTAAATTTAGGAAATGTCGAAACAGCCGTGGAAATATAATAAATATCACAACGATCGATGCAATCACAATGGCGCCAGGGCTTCGGACTTCTTCGGAAGGATAGATCTCGAGTTTGGAGCCGACTAATTACGACCAATTGTGAAGAGTTCACGCTAATTTGCATATCGAAAAGTGCCCACAACAACTCGTTTCTACGCTATCGCGTATCCACGTTTCTACGCACGTGTTTGCTAAATTACGCTGTGTCAAGGACATTTGCATAACTCTGAAAATTGGAGATCTCCTTTTGACCGTTCAAACTTCGTTTGTTTATCTTCTACGTTGTGGATTTTAGGTTTTTATAAAAACTGAATGGAGAATAGATGCCGAGTTTCGAGGCTCAAATGATCGGAACGAAACAAAATAAACTTGAACTTCAGGATTTCGCTGGATAGATGGTAGTACTTCAAATGACTCGATACGTCGTCCTGGCATTCTACGACAGAAATCAGGGCTGAAATACTCGCAGCCACTACAATCTTTGCTTTTCGCAAATCATGTAAACATTTCAAAAGATAAAATTCTCAGTAAAATGCAAAATTCTTCAGTTCATTTTAACTTTCGATTATAATGCGTTACATTGACCAATTTTGGTTTATAACATGGGAAAAACAGCATAATTACGTCACGCAATACATCTAGCTGGGTTTGTCCGGTTGACTTTGATGATCGCAGGGAAATGTTGAGTTTGTCGCCATAACAGCGTAAAATCATTAATGATGAAAACAAATTCGTAGAAAGGAGGGCTAATTCACTGCGTTCCGTGTGCTAATCTTGGGAGAAACTGCAAAAATTCTTTCAGAGTTTACGTGTGTTGTTTTGTGAATAAAACGGTAACGTATATTTTAACTTGTTTATGTGGCCTTTTAAGCAAGGCGATGTGTCTGTAGTGACCCGAGTACCAAATTTTACTCTTTAATTTTGGTCTTCTTCACACTGTGTGTAGTTCATGACTTGATATTTCAACGAAAATTATCGATCACCTTCGTTTACTTTGTAAGCGCGCAAGCGTTACGACCGATCACTTTTACACAACGTTTTAGTGCAACTCGGCATCTATTCTCCATCCACTTGTTATGAAAACCTGTGGAAAAAAATGTAAAGTTTACACTTTCGATCGCTGTCCACACGGGTGGTCTAGCCGAAAATGATTTTTGGCTTGTACATGTGGAGACGCAAAAAAACAGAGAATCGGAGAACAACTAAACTATTTTTGAAACATGTGTCCTAACCCCTTTTCGTGGGCAAAAATGAAAAACTATTTTTATGACAGAAGTCTAGAAGACCGCTCTTAGCGAGAGCGGCTCTTAGTAATGCGAAACATGACCAAAACATTTCTTTGTTTATAGAAATATTAACATCTGTTGTCTACAAAATGTTTTCGGAAAACCCTTTTATAAGTTCCCTTCAATGTTTGTAGTTCACCATCATTATTCTTCCTTCAAATACATATTCTCTTCTGAAATTTAAGCTGAAATAATCAACCGAGTCTTAATTCTTACACCACAACTTTTTCAAGCGTAACAAATGTACTATTCCTTCAATTTAGTATTCTTTAGACGCTCATCGACCATCCTCGCTCGTTATCTCCTGTCTGAGATCACTCGCTGCTTTATTCACGAATAAGGCATCGATTTCCTCGGCTTAGAGGGTGCAAGGAAGAACTGCCTGTCTATATTCTGAAATCCTCAAGGAGTAGATGATAACATTTGTAAATGAGTTAATAAACTGTAATATCTTAACGATATGAACCACTTTGTAGGGCCAAGATCTGCAAGACTTGCAAAATACCGATACAATGATCAAGACTTGGTGCGGACTCCAGGTTATGAGGGAAGCTGCTGTTAAAATGAACAATGTTTTCGCCAATTTCTTGTCATGATTGTCGGCCTGATATTCGTTCTGAGGTCGATGAGGCAGTTTTCTCCATAATAAAACGTAAGCGGTGGTTGTTATCAAAAGGGGAGTCAGGAGAAATGTGTTCGTCAGAATTAGGAATTCCGAGGAGGATATAACCCGGAAGTGATAGAGAAGTCGAGATGAAACTCCTATCAAACCAAATACCCACGGTATTCCAACAACGCAAATGTAGAAACGTGATGTCAACAAACAGTGGCGAAAGGGCCATAACACGGCGTGGAGTCTTTCTACTGAAATGCTAGCAAGGGTGAAAATAGACACCATCCCTGTAAACATATCTACGCATTGAAACAGGAGTACCAGCAATTCCTCTTGTGGATGGATACCAACAGCAATGTACAGAGGAGCGGATACTGCTCCCACGAATGTGTCCGCGATGGCTAGGCTTAATAAAAGGTAACGAGCGCGGTTTAGAAGTTTCCGTCTTAGGAATACTGAAATGGTTAAGAGGTTACCCGCGGTTACTACTGTAGCGATCAATGTAAATGTAACAGTCCAGAAAATGTTCCAATCAGAGGAGAAATCCATCAAGCAGGCTCATAGATCTTTGCATATCAACACAAATATAAATTTTTGCATGGAACTTAAGCTGATGCTCCCTTGTAAGTCCGTCAGATAGACAATGCAACATGCACGTGTTCAGCACATAAATACCCAATTCCTTCTTCACCTAGTATGACATCTCGGCAGTTGCGCACGTTCAAACCTGAGCTTGAAAGCGTGAAAGCGTGAAAGCTTTTAGGACCAAATCGTTATTCAAAGCCTTCAAATACGAAAACCAGCTTTCTATTCATGGTAATGATTATGGATGAGCTCATCCACGCGGGTGTGGAAACACTATATTAAAAAGAGTGGTGGACAATTTGCCATCTGCTTTAAACATCCTGAGGGCCAACTGAAACGTTAAAAAACGTTTTTGATTAAATATAGAAATAGAAAAGTGTTTTGGCTCCAAATAACCTTCTTCTAAAAAAAACTTTTTTTATACTAAAGCTTTTATATATTTTTTTATCTATTTATATTTTGTTTATACCAAATTATTTAAATTAGGATTATCTCATTGGATCCGCATGATCCAAATTCATTATACTTGAAATTTTTTTAAGTGTTATTTCAGACTTCGTTTTAATTAACTCGAGAAAAATAAATTTCTTTGACATCAGGGGAAAAATATGACTCGATTACTTCCTCACAAAGAAGGTGTTCAATTTTCACAATGTCACAAACTTCGAAGACTGAGAAAACTAAGCAATACAGTGCATAATGGCGACAAGTGTGACCCCGTTTATTAATTCAACAAGGTCCTAATCTCCTTGTAACCTTTACACACAAAGTTCGGTCGGGAAAGGAGTCAAATACAATGGAGTGAAAGAAGAAAGTTGCCAATTTATGTGTATTTATTTGTTATATCCGGTTCGATCGTTTTTCGTGTTTTGTTTTGTTTTGTTTTGTTTTGTCTTTTTTCAATTTACAAACATCTGCCCTCTTATGCTCAGACGATTCAGTGTTAGAGATGATTGAGGCAGTGAAACCTGCCATACCATCAAGTTTATTGATGGACTTGAAAAGAGAACGACATCATCTGTATTTGTCCATGTCGCCATTACAAGTTGAAGAGACTCTAACACACTAATTAAATGTCTCGAAAAGACTACAAAGGTGATGTTCGTTACATCGAGTCAGTGGACACCAAGTGATAAAGAAGGCGCTAGTGAGTCCTATGTAATTCCTAAGGAGCTACTATGGTGTGAATCTCTGTGTACGCACGTGAATACATGATATCAAAATGCAGTTTTAATTCAGCTAAAGCACTTTCAAAATCAATTCGAAAATAGAAAGTGCTATAAAAATGTTTTCTTAATAACCCGCACCCCCTAAAGAGAGTATCGTCATGAGCGCTATAAGAATAAACTGGAATACTCTTTACGAATAGCTAAATAACAATAGCTTCTTTTTGGCGCGAAAATATCCACTGATAATTGTCTCCGGACATTATCTGTTCCATGATGCGAACAGTTGTCCGAGAACGAAGCATTCTTGGCAAAAATTTTGTCATAGGAACTACGCACATTGCTAACATCGCAAGGAAAGTTTCAAAAAGCGTACGTTGTATGATGAAAAAAAAATTTTCAAGCTGACGATCTCTTTTGTTCTTTTATGCTATCACAAAGGTTGCAAAGTACAATGATCGTCCGAGGGATTCAAAGTCTTGTCCCTCTCCATTAACTATACCAATTTTTACTTCACGCATGCAATGCATTCAAATCCTTGTTTTACAAGTCTGGCAAAAACATTAATCGGAATTAGCATATCTAATTTTAAAAGGGAAGACGTTTCAACACTGCACAGATATTGTGTCCTGACCAAGATAAATTTTGGTTTTAAGACAACATCAGCCCATTATTATTAATGGACAAATGTTGCATCAACAAAGGCAACAATATGGAAATTCTCTCCGAATAATCTTATTGAACAGAATTTCCGATAAAAATACATTTATTGCGTCGCAAATGAATCAAGGATTTATGTACACCTCTAAAATACAGGGGAGGTTTTGTTTAAACTTTATTTAATACTCTTCGCACAAGAAATATTTGTATTTCTCGGTCTTCTATTTCTTGGGCTTTAAGAAGCCCAACCCGGATATAAGCTGGAGGTAAAAAAGAAGTCGATACAAACCCCAGATATAAATACCCACGGGATTCTCACGAGGTAAAAAGAAGTCGATTCGAAACGGAGAGCATAAAAAATACCCTCGGTAAAATCCAATCATCGGGTTTTCAACTGTTTTGTAAAGTAGAAACATAGCCGTCGTGTTCGATGGCGGAGAGACCATAAAAAAATGGCCAATATTCTCTCAAAGTACCGGACGTGAGATGCTGACCGCAAACGTCCGGCCTCCGGCCTCAAATGAAAACCCTGACTATAGACACAAAACCGGTAAAAACGTCTACGCATTGAAATACGAGTAGCAGCAAAGCTTCCTGTGGATGGATACTGACAGAAATGCAGATAGAAACTGATTAAGTTCCCAAAAATGTGCCCACAATGGCCAGGCTTTAAATCAAGAAACGAACACGCTTCAGAAGTTTCTTTTTACGAATATTACAATGGTAGCGCTATTGCTAACAGTTATCACTATCGCTATTACACTATACGTTACGGTCCAGAAAACGTCCCAGTGAGTGGAGAAATCCATGAAGCAGGCTCTCTGATCATGAAATATGAAAACAATACTCGTAGCAAATTTGACCGTCACAGAACTTGAAGCAAAAACATTTTTGAAACAAAAAGTGCTCGGTAAGTCTTAAATAGCAAGTTTCCGCATGTTCAGTTGGCATGAATAACCATTTTGGCATCGGTGCACGTAGGAATATAACTTTCGCTAAAGGAAAGCGCTTGAACACAAAGTGATCGTACATGGCCCTGAAATTACCAAGAAATTTTTATACAAAGGTACATAAAATGATATAAAATTAGCCCATCAGCACGGGTGCTGAAAAACTAATCTACACAAAGTGAAAAATTTGACGTTTACCTCGCCAAAGTTTGAATGTGCAACAGTTGCGATAGTAAAAAGGAACAAAAAAAACTTTTAGCTTGAGATAGCTTTGAGAAAAAATGGAAAGAGACTTGTAATCTACTGCGTTTTTGTCTTCCAAAAAAAAAGAAGTTCACGAATAAAGTATTTCAATTTGACTTGGTCTTATCACAATTTAAAGAAAAAATGCTGAATTCCTCATACTGATGATGACTTTTTCCCCACAGATGAAAAATACATGTCTTCTTACAAGGCGAGCGCTTTTTCTTCGCGGCTATATTTCGACATCCTTATTTCCATAAAAAACGAACTGCTTTTGAAAAAGAAAGTGTTTGCTTTAATTATAATGTGCTTCACATAGATTATACTCAATGGTGTTAAAAGTTGACATGATGGTAGTGTTAGATCTTTGTGCTTGGAATAAAATGATCCCCAGTTCTCATTAAAAATACAGTTTGGAATTCAGTTCTGAAGCGCGCTCCATATAAAGTGTACCTTTTCATCAGTGTTATTAATACTTTAAACGTGAACGTACTTAAATTAAGAATTTACTTGGCTAGCGTTCTTAATATATTCATCGTGGTGTATCCACGAGTTCACCAAAGTGTCACTTTTATGAGTGGTGGCTGATAAGTCGCTTTAGCAAGCCTCCACATGTTTAGCGCAATAAAACATTAATTTTGCAAGGGATGGCGTTGGACGACCTACTTATCTGCAAGAAATATAAGTAGAGGTTCAGTTTTAATTTGGCTGAGCCCATCAGTTATGATCAGCAGGCTCGGACACACTACATTTAGCGAACACTTTTCAATCTCCTAAGTCAGACTTTGAATCCTTTGGACGATCATTGTACTTTGCAACCTTTGTGATAGCATAAAAGAACAAAAGAGATCGTCAGCTTGAAAATTTTTTTTCATCATACAATGTACGCTTTTTTTTTTTCTTTTTTTTTTTTTTTTTCAATAATCCTTCTTTCTTATCTCTTCACTTATCTGCTTTTTTTCTCACCTCAGCGTTGTTTACAATAGCATTATACATACACCTGTATTATATTCTCTACGAATCCGTACAATTTAAAATTAACAATATTTGTAAAGGTAATAATGAGAATTTTCTTTTCTCCTATTTCGTTTGCGTGTCTGTTCTGTCGCACTTTGTAACAATCGTCGCACTTTTTAAGATAACTGTCGCATCTTGTAGTACTTGCGCACTTTGTAATAAAGCCTGTCGCACTTTGCAATAAAAAAGCTACAATTCGCTTGCTTCACGCCTCAAGTTTTTACCTTTTAAGTTCCTTCAGTGCTGTTCACTACTTTATAATTTACAACATGATTTTAAAAAGTTAATGAAAAAAAAATCAATTTCGAACCGAAATGTACCAGACCATTTTTAGGCAGCCTCAAAGAGTTATGTCTTTAGCCATGTACTTCACGCTTTCTGACGTCACAGCCTAAAACCAGACTTGATTGATTGTACCACTTAATATTTGCATGAACAATAAAATCTGTTTAGTTTTGCTTTCCCTCTCTTTGGGATCTAAATTGGATCACAGGCTAGAGGCACAGGAAAGCAGTGTCTGTCTGTATTCCTGAAACCTCAAGGAGTAGACAATAACATTGATAAAAGAGTTACTGAACTGAAATATCTTCATGATGTGAACCACTAAATGGGCATACGGCGACCGTCTGCAGGATATGCAAAATGAAAATATCAGGTTTATAATCTGATGTGGACACCAGGTTAAGAGGAACGTTGCCGTTATAACAATCAATGTTTTAGCCAGTTTGTTGTTTTGATTGTCTCCCTGAATTTGGTTCTGAGGTCCATGAGGTTTTTTTCTCCATATCAAAATGTAAGAGGTGGTTATTAACAGTAGAGGTGTCAAGAGAAATGTGTTTGACGTAACTGAAAGCATCAGCGGGGATATAACCTTCAAGTGATGGAGCAGTCGAGATGAAACTCCCAGCAAGCCAAATAACCACGGCAATCCAATAGCACACGGGTAGAAACATGACTTAAGCGCACGATGGCGGAAGGGCCATACGATGGCGTGCATTCTTTCCAATGAAATGCTAGCAAGGGTAAAAATGGACACCATTCCTGTAAAAACATCTACGCATCGAAATACGAGTACCAACAAGTTGTCTTGAGGACGGATACCAACAGCAATGTACAAAGGAACTGATAAGGTTCCCACGAATGTGTCCGCCATGGCCAGGCTTAACAAAAGGAAACGGGTGCGCTCCAGAAATTTCTGTTTTATAAATATTATGATGGTAACGAGATTACCTGCAGTTATCACCGTCGCCATCAACATAAATGTCACTGACCAAAAAACGTTCCAAGTGGAGAAATCCATGAAGTAGGGTCAAAATGATTCCGATATGCAACAATGAATAAAAAGGAACACGGAACTCAAAGTTATGTTCCTTTATCCTTTTTCCTTAGTCAACACACACACGCCTGGTTCATACACAAACAATTCCTTATTCAAATTAAAGAGTCAGACGTTGTGGCAGCAGTATATGTTGAACCCTAACACTTTGCCATCTGCTTCTTGAAACTTTAAACTTCCCGACGGATGAAAAAGTTAACGTTGGCCAGACTTTGAGACTAGATGTAAGAATAGAAAAGTGTTTTGGCTTCAGATAACCTTTGTTTTTTTCGAAAACGGCACAAAATTTTTACTGAAAAACCTTTTTCACTCATTTATTTTTGAATATTTTTTTTCTTTTTAAACACCTTTATTTTAATTAGGATTATGTCGTCGAATCTTTATGGTCCAAATCCATAATACTTGTAATTTTACCATCAAAGACCGCACCATAGTTAACTCGAGCAAATTAAATATCCATGACTTCAGGGGAAAAAATATGACATTGTTAATTCCACAAACAGGAAGGTATTCAATTCTGAAAATAATTTTTAAAGACTAAGAATAACAGTGCATGATGGTAACAACCCACTTGTTAATTCAACTAGATTCCAATCTCTTCTAACTTTTACTAAGATAGGTTGATCATCAAAGAAGTTGAATACTATGGAGCAAAAAGGTTTTAAACTTATGTATATTAATATTCTGTGTTTGGTTTTTTTCTTCGCAAATGTGCAAACACCTGGCTTTTTAAGTTGTAAAACAGTGTTAATGGCTATCAACTTCCCGACAGCTCAGTTTTGGAGATCGTTGAAAGAATGAAACTTGCTTGAGTATTAAATTTATCGAAGAACAAGGGAACGATGTCTGGTTCTCAAATTTTTTCGTTGTCATCTCGAGTTATATAGAGTAATTTTGATAAGTATTAATTTTAAAATGTCACGAAAATATGGCGTGTTCATAAAATAGAATGGACACCAGGTGATAAGGAAGGCTCCCGTTACAAGAAACACTCAATCAAAAATATTTTCCTACTCATTTTTTCGATTTATTACGAGAGATAATTATGGGATCGGTTTTTGTGCTTCTACCAAATTTCTTTAAAACCATTAGCGATGGAGGAAATACGACGTAAATTGACGACAAAGCACGATGAAATCGAGTAGAGCTGTATTATGAGATGTAATTTGTGTAAATTAGAATCGACATAAATTATTATTTTGCCGGTACGGAGCGATGAACTGGGTTTTAGCGTAGCGCGCTTGGGACCACGGTTAGGGGGTTTAAAATGTGACTGGTTAGTTATGCGTGTCATGCTACGGTCGGCCTCGCCGCGTCATCTTGCTTCGTTTAATTTTCTCTGTTTTTTTTTCTTCGCCGTGGCCATGGTTGAAGCTAACGTTTTCTAGCATGATTGCGAACAGCAACAAAGAACTCTTATATCAATTTAAGGCCCTTATTTCAGATTCCATTTCAGATCTTAAGCGTGCCAACGAAGCTACGGCTTCGAAGCAGATGCAGGAAATCAAAAGGATAAAGCGTGACCCTGTTCCGCAGTGTAACAAGAGGAGCAACGAAGATCAGTTTAAAGCCCGTAAGGCTGTAACTGAAGCCGTGGAAGACGCTAAGGCAGCTTTGGGAACGAAGCTAGGCGAAATTGGCGAAAAATTAGCTGAACTGGCGCAAAATAGTGCGCTTAAGTCAATACGCAAGGCAACTGAAACAAACGATAGAGGCTTGTAACCAAAAATAGAGTTTTTAGCTTTGCATGCAATAAATAAATTAGGGAAATTGGATAGAATAACCCAGTCATGAATAAAGTTACTCCAGTGAACTCCATCAGAGCAAAGCACTGGCCAAAAGTGAGCCGACTTCCAGATTGGAACAACGAGAGCTCCCTTAGCGCCGAAAAGCTTCATGTGCCTGACAACTTTGCACCTCGAATAAACCGGGGGACAAAGCCAGTTAATGGTGAGACCAATCTTGGGAGAAAGCATTCACACCACTCGAGCCGGGTTGATAAAATCTGGCATTGAAGCACTGAACTTTCGCGTTATACGGGCAAACAAACCTATCACTATCACAGGTATGAGGACCCCACAAGTTGTCCAGGTCGGTGATCAATGAACTTGCTAATATCATCTGCTGCGCTGTTTAGATCCACTGCATATCAATGCTTACACCGTTAAGGAGGCAGGTTTGGAAAATGCCCATAGCTAGATTCTGTAATGCAGGAACTCTGGAACCGGAGTTGACGATAAGGACAACATTCTGATTATCGGTGAACCAAGTAACCGACTAAGCCTGTAAAACTGGGTGAAAGCTTTCATGGATAAAGAAACAGCAATTGGCTCCCTGAAAGAGTGGCTTTAAGATTTCTCGAAATCAGACCAATTCTGATGAAAAACTTTGCCTTTGAACTCGATGAAACTACCACTGGCTGAAGCGGATGCATCTGAATAGACGATCTTTGGAAGGCTTAGTCCTATCATGCCAAATAGGAATACCGTTGAGGCTTGCCACGTTAGTTCTCCAGAAAATCAACTCAGTCAAACTCTTAGATGAAAGGTGAACGTGAGAATTCCAAGACGACGCACAGTTGATCACAGCAAAAATATTTCTCGTCATAAGGCGAGAGACATTGCCCACACAGTTGGTAAGTGAAATTATTTTTCTGCAAACGCTAGCGAGCTCGCGCAGAGATACGAACAGAAGAATCAGACAGTATTAAATTTAAGAGATTCGGCAAACTCATAATCCGTTCGTTGGTGGCGCCAATACGAAAAGTAGCCGTATTGATAACGGACCCGAGCCACGAATTAACCTGGGTCGGTTCCAAAATGCATTTGGATTTGTTCGCAAGAAAACCTAAACGGAAAAAATCGGCGTGAACTTGCAAACTAGCAATCTTAGTATTGTTGTAGCCGGCAGGACCCGGCGCCGTCGTCTAAAGAAACAACAATCCCCTTGGCTTCTGATCTCCATTTCTTAACCAGAGGCTTGAGCAATTTCGTAAAAAGATAATGCGCTGAGCTGAGGCCAAAAACAAGAACAGTAAATTCAAAAAAACTTAGTACGGTAAATTTACGGTGGTCAGGAAAAATGTTCACATGATGATAGCCCGACTTCAAATCAAAAGAAGACATGTAATCCGCTGGACACAGAACCTCCTTGGCGACGCTTAAATCTTCACACCTAAACTTTTACTTGAAAAGGAATTGATGAACGTGACGAAGGTCTAAAATGAGACGCTTTTTGCTAGATTTCTGAATAGAAAGGGACAATGGATGGATGATGACAGGCCTCTCAGAAACTTAACTGGAAAACCATTTGAGGGCCTTCAACAGATAGGTAGAGTTCGCCAAGGGCGTGTTGGGCGTTCCCGCTTTTCCTGTCGGTCCCATGGATTATGCCCTCTACCTGCAGTTCCTTCTACAGTCATCTAAGTCGGCGTCTGCTATCAACAGCGCTTTTTAGGCTCTCAAGTGACTACGTCAGATTGCAGGAGTGGATTCTCCCACCCTAAGCCCCACCGTTATCTCCGCGAAGGAGGGAGCCCTTCGTCTTGTTAGCCAACCAGCCTCTCATAGAAAAGAACCCCTTGAGGTGACCCATCGCAAGCAAGCTGATAGGACTGACTTTGGCAATCTTTAGCAATTAAGAAGCTTAGTTATGTTCGTCCTCGCCTTTTCCGGCTTTTTCAATAGTTCAGAATTATGTTTCATTCGTAGTAAGCATTTTCAGTTCCGTTCTAGCTACATTGCTATTTTTATTGAGAAAAGAAAAACAGATCAATTAAGAGAAGGACGTTCTGTCGTCATCGCCGTAACCCATTCGTCTTCTTGTCCTTGCTACCTTCTAAGGGCGTACATGAGCAAAGCCCACGTAGTCGGGAATTCTGACGAGTATCTTTTTCGTCCTATTTCGTCTTCAGGAAATCGTAAGCGTTTGGTTTCGGTTAACAAACCTATCAGTTACTCTGCGTACGGGGATTCCTTTAAGAAGTCTTTTTCGGATATTGTACCTGGCATATCAAAGTGTAGTACTTATTCCACGAGATCAGGAGGAGCTACTTTGGCAACCAATTCAGGCGTTTCGGATAGGAACATTCAGCGTCACGGTCGCTGGGCTTCCGTAGGAGCTAAAAACATTTATGTTATAGACTCGCTATCTAGCCGGCTTGAAGTCTCTAAATCTCTGTCCCTCTGAACTTAAGCCCTTACTTTTACTATGTAGCATGGGTCTGGCTGACCGACGCGCCCATGCCTCCAAGTGTTGCTTTGTGTGTTCGGTTGTGTAGTAGAGACAAAATATGTAATTTCTGTAAATTAAAATTGACATAAATTACTGTTTTTCTAGCACGGGGTGGTAAACTGGGTTCTAGCGTAGCGCGCGTGGTACTGTTGTTAGGGTGTTTGAAATAGTGACCAGTTAGTTTTGCGTGTCATTCTACGGTCTGCTTCATAGCGTCATCTTGCTTTGTTTAGTTTAGTTTTCACTTACTCTGTTAGCCTTAATCTCGTTAACATCAGTGGCGGTCCCTATCTCTCTCAGCTATTTTATATAGCATCTCGTTTTCTGCTCATATTCATGTTATTAGGCTCTATTTTATTATAACCCCAAAGGCGACGCCATGGCATAGGTTTGGGTTTCACGGTCCCTATTTTCAGTGGTTGGTTTTTTCGGGGTTTACGTGTCCGGCCGTGGCGTGTTCTTAGAATTCCTGTAACAGTGGAGTTTGTTCACCTGAGTTAACAAAGTGTATAATGAGCCTGGCTGACCGACGCGCCCATGCCTCCAAGTGTTGTTTTGTGTGTTCGGCTGTGGGCGCAAAATCTGAAATTTCCAGCGACTCAAGGACTCATGCGATTGCTTTGACGCTTATGTAGAAAGTGATGTGGGTATGAGAATTCGAAAAGCCGCAAAAAGGTGAGACTTCATTCAAGAGAGTTTCCAGTAAGGCAAGGAATTTATTGAATCGTGGCAGCAAGCACTGCCCAAAATTTTAACCTCTTCAGTCATCGATTCTATAAGGGTGACGCTTAGTAATCGAGTACTCCAGCTTTATAAAAGAGTACTGGAAGACACTCAAATATGCACAAATGCTGTCGTCCAAACCGGGGTTTGAACATGATTTCAATTGGCGTTTGAAGTTAACTGACGCGTGGCGCAGATTTCTATGGTTTTGAACAACTCGCCAAGCGAAAACAACTAAGATGAGAAACTAATCAAATAGTAATTCTTGAAGGATTCATGAAGTCGAGTGCATATGCACATGCATAACTCAACACTCGTATTATACGGCTGTGGGCGCCCCAAAGACTTCCGATAAAAAATATCCATATTCAGGAAGTCACATGACTTCATTTTAGACGGGTTTCGGAATTTCCTTTTCAAAGGGGATAACACGAAAGTGTATTTCTTTTACTCCTTCAAGTCAAGTGGAAAAGCAAAAGTTCTTAGAAATGATAAAAGCTATTGGAGAAAAAGAAAGGAAAAAAACAACAACAACGGGAGGGAGCTTAACTTACGCAGACCTTTTATTCTAAATCTATTTTGAATTTTCTACCGGAAGTTTTTTACTTATCTCGACAAGAAAAAACCATCCTCAAGAACTGAACTCTCGCTAAAGTAAAAAAAAAGACAAATGAAAATAAAAGAACAAACCAATAAGCATGAAAATAAAGTTTTCCTTGCGTATCATTGATTGATAAAAGGCATCGTTAAGCCTTTTTATCAATTTTTTCACTTAAACTTATAACAGACAAAAATTACAAACATAAATTGATTTAACACTTGGGAAACAAAAAGAAGTGATGATGAATTTGCATTAGACATGAAGTTGTATTCAGGAGCACATTGGCCTATACAACATACTCATAACGACTTAGGACTAAAGTGGAAAAAAATTTTATATCGTAAGTAATTTTAATTGATTTTCCAAAATTCCAAAATTAAAATTTCTTGAATGTCCACAATTCGTCACTGACCATCTGTGCTTCATTCTGTCGAAGAGTTTATAATCTCTTAGCCTTTTTCATTAAGTGAAACCATTGTTCAACCAGTCTGAAATTTTAAATGAAACCATCGAGTTGCCGATTTTTTATACAATGCATAGATCCTAATTCATTGACAATTGCGATGGTGCAAATAACTGCGACCAGGCTGTTTTTACTTCTACTTTCTCGAATTATTTTCAATTTTCAGGCCGCTTGCGGACAAGAGAGGAGTTACACTGATGGGGCAATAACAACTCGCGTAGGCTTTAGCCTTAAAGGAAGCGTTATGAAAACGCTACGTGTCCCAAGTATCATTTGTTGCACTCAACACTGCTTGAAAGAGTCCAGGTGCATCTCAACAAACTTTAAGTTTCTGAAACATGAAAGCAATGGGATGTGTGAATTAAATGATGCAGCTCTTTTGGCCAAGACGAAAAATAAATTTTCTCCAGAGGAAGGTGTTATATTTTCGCAGTATAGTAGAATGAAGGTAAGAAGACCTTAGTACAGGTAACCAGGAGATATTTGTGGTTTGAGTAAGAGACACAAGGCAGCTTCCTTCCGGGTCGATCAATTTAAATCGAGATCTCGCCTAAAAGCGCCACCAGACTGAATATTTTCTCCAAAATGAGGACAGATTTAGCGTAATAGAGTTGCCTGACATGATACGGCTGTTAAGCTCATTAGTTTTTTTTCTGAGTGTATAATCCATCTTTATTTCTTTTCCGCTGTAGAAAGTCCATCAAGCCCAGGAAATCCAAAACAAGGAAACCTACCATGGTAACTTTTTTACACTGAGTTGATGTTGTAATATTATGCTTGTGCATCTAAAGATTCGCAAGAATCACTTTCGAAACAGTTATTCATTAAATAAATAACTGTGCTGCGTAGATTCTTGTTCGGGAACAAAGGTGTAAACAGAGAGAGAAACATAATGGATAAATTTTGGACGTGTCGATGGATTTGGTACTGTACTAATTTGGAACACTATTTAAAACTCAAAAAAACCCAAATAAGTAAAGAAAAGTGAATGCAAGTCTCGAGAGTCCCGACCGGTGGGAAGTGGACCAATTGGTTATTTAACTTTGAGGTGTCGCGTGGTAGTAAAACTTACTTCTCAAAACACAGTTGATTGGCCGGGGGTGGGATTAAAAAAAAAAGGAAATTCCAGCCCCTTAATTAAGAGGCGTACTGTCTCCTCAAAGATCGAGGGACGAGGAGAAAGCGAAGTCACAAGCGGAAGAGGCATGCGCAAAGACACTCAGATGCGTCAATCATTAGCGGCTTTAAAGATGGGATAGATATGATTTTTAGCTTCAATTAGATAAGTTTCATAATTGTGACACTGAAAACACGTTGTGGCCTTGCTACAAATTAGCCAAAGATTAGTTTATGATCATGAGTTATCGTGTCAAGACTGTAAGTCAGTTTTGTCATTTCTGGGTAAATCAAATCATAAAAGATAACAATGAAGACACCTCTAAGCCATTGAAATATTCAATCGTAGTTAGTCACTCTGGGCAGTTTGAAACCAGATAGAATTACGACTGATAGTTTCCCTCCTTTTCGATTTGGGACCAATTGCTTTGATTTTTAATGTAAGTGATATTTTAATTTCACCACAAAGGCAAAAGCTGCAAAGCAGCGATTGAATATTTGAAGAAGTTTGCCATCGTTTTGTGGAACTCTTTTAAAATTTCTAAAGCCATTTGCACACACAAAAAATATTCTGTTAGATCGTAATATTGTGTTCAAAAAACAACGCATTAAAACTGAAAGAGTAATACCATCTGACCAAAGGATTCTTCAGATCAATTGAAACAGGCCATTTTAAGTTAGCAATTACTTTTACTTTCGGATGTGTTTCGTGTCGTTTTTATTGAAACAAACTTACCCTTGCCTTAGCCCTACATCTATTGTGCAAGTTAAAAACCTTCTCCGAGAAAAGCCGCACATAACCTTGGGTAACACGGATATAATGTTTAAGTTGGTTACCCTTTATCACAACGACTCCTTAGGTCTAGTTTCTGAGGCGTAGTTCTTTCCATTACACCAGAAACGATGAGAAAATGAATTTTCCATTTCTTATGGATTTTCTGCTTAGTTTCAGATTTTTCCCTGGAATTTCCATCTGCAGCTGGGTTTAACGATTCTGTTATCTTGCCCGCATCAGTTCCAAAATTACAAGCATTCACAATCTGTTTTTGGATGAAAACAGATGACCGAGACAATCAGGGAACGCCATTTAGTTACGCAGTGGAAGGAAGGGAAAATGAAATTGTTTTGAAAAACTACAAGAACTTCCGCATCCAGGTCTCGAACAAAAGTCCGGGGTGAGTATCACGGCAAGTCTAAAACAAAAATGTACAGCAAAAGTTTTCTCCGGCCTTCTTTTCTTGTGACATGTTCATGGATTATTTTGTTCAATGTGCATTACAACCTCTTGTCTTCTTAGATTCTTGTAACCGGAAGAAGAACGGAATGAAAAATGAAAGCATATCAACGAAAATTTTGAACTATCAATAACTCGTTTTCCATCGTGAACGCGTTCCAAGAGTTTATTTCAACAAAGTAGCACATTTGTATTTTGCTTTTCCATTTTTTGATAACAACGCTGCAATAGGGTCTCACATCGATTAAATGTTTCACAATATACTTCGACAAACCAATAACTGTCTTATTTAAGCCAATGTTCCTGTAGATTCTTTTTTTTTTAATCAGCGCAAGTGGTATATCTGCAAACGATGGCAAATGGCATCACATCTGCGTGACTTGGGAGAATAATAACGGTTCATGGAACCTTTACAAGGATGGGGGTTTGGAGAAGGGAGGTGCAGGCTTAAAGGCAGGTGCTGTGATTGATGGCGACGGGATCTTTGTGCTGGGGAAGTTTCAAGGAGATCGTTTGAAAGAGAAAAACTTCATCGGTCAGATCGCACATTTAAACATCTGGAGTCATGTTCTCCCAAATGATGATATAACTCGACTCTCTCAGCCTTGTCTCTCAGCTGAAGGGAACGCTGTGAAGTGGTCAGATTTCAAAAATGGAGTCCATGGAAACATCAGTGTGATTATTCCATCACCATGCAGGCCATAGCGTCCCAAATTGCCAAGATGTCTCGATTTAAAAATGTGCGTATGTGAAGAACTTCTATAGAAGCTGCACTAACTTTGCTTATTCTAGGTCTGTTAGATAATTACTGGTAAAAGCCGCATTCTTATTTGTTTTTCCTCTTTTCCCTATTTTCATTTCTAATAATCCTGTTATGCTTCATAACTGCATAAAAATCAAAGTAGTCTAATCAAAGCAAATCAGTTTATTTTTACTTCTGTGGTTTGTTCATTGCTTTTACTCTTAATTAGGTAAAAGTTAAAGTAAACAAATAAATTCCTGACGTCTGAAGAAAAAATTCCCTCAGAAATCGAGATTTTGTCTAAGATTGGATTAGTTCAGCTGTCTTCAAGGCGGCAATATTTAAACTATTTCTTGAATGTTTATGTTATCATAATGTCCTTCTTAGTGGCTACAGATATATACTTTTATATTTTTTTCGCAATTTGACACTTAATGATTTGAAGTACCTGCTAGCCCTGCCAATCTGAGGTAAGATTTTGATAATCAATTATGTTGATGAAATATTCATCAAATGATGGCAGAACATATGTCACTAACTAAATAATTGTATAACAGTTCTATCAAAAAGGTAGAAAGCTGAGAACGTGAGCATAAAGCAAAGATCAGTTCATTCTTTTGGTACTAGGTATAGAGATGATAAATGTATGATACGATTCTAAGCTACACTAACTCTGTTGTCTGTAAAATATATTGTAGTAGTGTTTACTCATTACAGCGCTCAAGTTTCAATCAACAAATCATTAGAAATCGGAAAGGCATAAAACAACATCAGATTTTCAAAGAAATTCCATTACATTTAACAGGAGGAAATCTAAAAAGGGGAGGTCTCCTTTGTGTCCATATTGCCCGTGGACGGTGAAGAAACCAATCGTGGGATAGAGGGCATAATTTTTTTTTGAAAACTTTATAACGATACATAGCGAACTCATTCTCTGTGATTTCAGTCTAAACGTTCCTTAACAGGCTGTTAGCCATTATTTGATTTCCATCCATAGAACTCACTTCTACAGTCTTGCTTAGTGAAGACGATGAGGTTTTATTCGAATTTATCAGTGGGCTATGCAGAGTCAACCGAGTTACAGACGTAGAGCTGTCGTAAGTGATTTCTTTTAAGTGCATATCGTTGACTCCGCTGCGGGACGAAGACCGACTAAAAATCTCCTTTAATGCTTCTTTAAATTCCGGGATTCTGAAACTATACACTGCTGTGTTCATAAACGAGTTGCTGTAATGCAATAGCTTAGTAAAGAACACAGTGTTCACGGAAAATCTGCACGTCTTACAGAAGTGGACCAAAATGAAGACGAGCTGGAATGGAAGCCACGATACGACAAAAATGGTAGTGATGAAAAACAAGGTCATGCTTAGTCTACGCTCGACTGTTAAATCCTTCGCGTTCTTTGCGCTGTTGTTTTTCTGATTGATTTTATATATGATAGCTATGTAAGCAAAACAGGCAACAGACAGGGACAGCGACAGGGAAAGAATTACTACAATGTAGAAGGCTTCTTTCACAATCCGCAAGTAAAATGCGATACTCATGGCGGCAACGCTTCCAGAGAGACCCCACGTGGCTGCAATACAGCAGAAGTAAGCATACCTGGGAATTAAACGATACTTGAAAGGGATGGATACAGCCAATAGTCTTTCTATAGATACAATGGCCAGTGTGAAGACAGACGTTAGTCCTGAGAGAATATCCACTGTAGAATGAACCATCGGCATGGTAAGGCTGCTAGTCCACACTTGTGGATTCACAAGATAGGAGATGAACAAAGGCACCGATACAGCTCCGACCATGAAATCAGCAACGGACAAGTTGATGAGAAAGTAATGAGTATGCTTGCGACGAGGTTTTGCTTTGACGAACGCAGCAATGGAGACACTATTAGACAAGATGATCATAAAGGCTACGACACCGAACGAAGTCCCCCAGAGAACGGCTTCAACGCTGGTCACAGTTCCCGTTGCTCTTCCTTGGGCAGATGTCGAGTTGTTCATCATTCCTGGCCGCGTCGTCAGTTATAACTAAAACACAGAAATGTCGCAATGATGTTAATATGGTCAGTCCTGGAGTTTAAATCGGTAAACCGTCAATTGATCAGCTGTTTTGAATTGCTAATTGTGTTTATATCATCGAGCTAAATCCCTTTTATCTCTAATTTCAAAGTAACTGTAATTAAATGTGAGGTGTCTTTAAGCGTATGCTGTCAAACTGATTCCCTTCACAATAAGTAATCATATTAAATTATCACCGTAATCGCTTCAAGGTTAAAAACGTACTTAACATAAAGGTCACGCCAGGCGCCAAGAACTCACACATTATTCTATTTGAAAAAGAAGCACAATGGTTTTTCACGTAAGACGGCAATAAATTGCTGTTTAGGGATTTGCTTTAAATACGTTTTATTGCGCGACACAATGAGCGTGCTGTCAGAATTTAAAAGACAGGAAATGACGAAAGTATAATCGTTTTGAGATATCACAAATCAAAGTCCTGCAGATGGTGATCTTTTAATCGAAAGCTATTGTGTGGTCGTTTTCAAAGCCGTATGTTTAGGGCTATTAATTCTCAATCTCATTTAAAGTTATTGAATGGAGGCAAAAGTCCTTTTTTTTCCGTAAAATCTGTCAAAATCCCTATATACCTGCACCATGTTTGGCTCCTTAATTTCAAATTTAGCTACTTCACCAGGTATTCACATCATGGAGAATAAAAAAAACACCTTTTCTTAATTTTTTACAAGCATACTTAATTAGAGCTCAAACAAAATTAAAAAACTCAGTGATTTGTTCACGATTTAAATTGTATACGGTTTTTGGACAAAGTTCAGTTGGCGTTAATGTGTGTGTTTCAGAATTATGTAATCCCAGATCTCTTTCCTCATCATAAGAACCAATTGATTTCACGGCTGCTAAAATTTGATATAAGTTGCCGCTTTTCGTTGTTTGTGTTACTTCCTATGGTCTATTTGCTTGATCAACGCTCTTGATCATTTATTGCTTCGTTTGCCACTCTTTTCCAATTGAAAAGGCTCCCGATCACAATTAGGAAACAAACGTAATCTCAAAATATTCAAATAGCAAATCAAACTCTTAAATCACCTAAAAGTGCATACTTAGCCAAAAATTGTTGGCAATGATGATCTCTTCTCTCAATGTTCAGACGAAATATCCATTACTATAGACATGGAAATAACAGAAAGATAAAATATCGTGAAGAAACACACGTGAGATGAAAAATAAACATGAAACCACTTTCCGCTTTCAACTGAGCAATTTGAATTGCTTTAAAAGAGGAAACTGTCTCCAGGTTAGGCTAAAGATGAATAATTATTTTTTCCTTATTGAATATCGGGTCAAAGATGTCTCAAAATCTAAAAAAATTAATTTTTTTATGCGAGAAAGAAGGAGAAGAAGAAGAAAGAAAAACAAATAGATGTTTTTAATTAGTCACCTCTGTCCGGAGTGAGGCCTTTCGAGGTTATTGCCATGAATTACTTCGATATTACTCTCAGCCAATAACACTAAATAGACAGCAGGAAATATATTTGAATTGTCTTGGAAATGGACTTTCGTGGTGTACACCGTTGATTTCGTCAAAGCCCGAAAATCCAATAAAACCTCATTGCTTCTATGACAAGATAATGGGAACATAATCTTTAAGTTCATAACAAATAAAGGCTTTAGGCAAAAACACGGTTCAAGCTTAAGGTTTACCAGAATGATCTTCCAAGATAATGCACGGAAAAAAATAGTTTTCTTTTCGTTTAGTCTATAATTGTATGACGTCAGTGTATTTTAGTAAATCAAACCTTAATTTGGGCAACTTGTGCGCGTTAAGCGAAACCTGAGGGTCAAAACGTTCAATTTGGCGTCACGCTGTCTTCGTTTAACAAAAGCTTCATTTAATAGGTGTGTTCTGGGTAAAAGAACACAATTATTTCCAGGATGTAAACTGTCTCGTTCTGTAATATATGCGCATGATTGAAGAAAACTCAGAGATGTTCCCGTTTGGTAAACCCAAATATGTCCTTTCATGACAAAGAAGAAAAAGAAGGCCATGAAATTCTCCCATAACAAACTGCTTTTTGTTGAATTTTCAGAACAACAGCGATCTGCATGTGGCCATTAAGCCAATATAATGTGGTTACATTGTTTTTTTAACGGACCCAAGAACTTTGTGAAGCAGAAAAGAAATTATGGAAAACGCAATTGAAAATGACGATGTTTAGCTTTCAAAATTATCTTCAAAGTTAAAAAAAGCATCAGAAGTATGATTCCCGATGGATTATTTCAGATATCTATCTTTTTTAATTTGCATTGTTTATTTCTCTGAAGGAGGACATTGTAATAATTAGCGTGGGATACAAGTTACGATATTTATTTTTGTGTGGTTTGCGCGCTTCTTGTTTAAGGATGTGTTGCCATGTATGCACTCTAAACTTAATACCATGATGTTTTATCTGATCTCCTTGAACTATCAATATGAAGGCAAACAAAGGTGCCGAATGCAAGACAAAATATCTGATATAAAGTAATGAAACGGAAAACAGTGTTATGTTAACGACTTGAGATCTAAGTGTGATATTTCGAAGTTTCCGGAAAAGTTAAGATTTGAATAAACTCTGTGCAGAGAGCTAAGTCTTTTCTTCAACAGTTCAGATCGATTTCTTTATCTCTTTTTGCTCCATTATTAGATTCAGGTTATCCATATTTATCCATATGCATGATGTAAGCATGGTGTAAATCTAACACCTCGATAACTCTGTCTCATATAATACGAAGTGTTATCTTTCGGTTAGTGTTAGAAAGCTCGGTGTACATTTTTACGGTGAACGATTTTGTAAAAATGACATTTTAAAACCAATTTAGCCAAAAAATATTCTAAATTATTAAATACATTACTCGCCGAGGTGTCCAGTCGCTTTCGTCTGCCGATATATGAATTCCCTCTTTTTTGCCCTATGTTATATTCCGTTATTCCTTCCTAATTTTAGTGAATTCTGTCAGTTCAGTAAACACTTAAAAAACATTTTAGGAAAATATCTTAAACGTCGAAAATGGCTGCTAGTCCTGTTGTGTAGGCTAAAAACTAAAAGGTAACAAATCGTACACACAAAAAAAATATTTCGTCAGATGAAAATTCCTTTGTCACATATCAAAGTCACCAACTCAAATCGCTGAAAATGAAATACCTTTTTGAATTCAGTTTCCTGGGCGGTGTTGTTATTGAATTTTTTTCTTAATCTTTCAGTGGTCTTAAAAGGGGAGGCTTGCTGAATTGGTAGTAGTGACTTATCTGACTGTTGTGACGATTTCTGAACACTGGGCGAATTGCCCAACATTTAAGGCGATTTCGAATGCAAATAATCAAAATTTAATTAGGGCTTCGTAAATCGAGGATTAGACTCAGACGGAGCGGATCAAGATGTGGATGGTGGACTAAAACTGCCACGATCGCACTCGCCTCATAAAGAAACTGAAATTGGACTCAGTGAACAGTTGGAAAAACTAACGAAAAGAAAAGCTTTGCCGTTGAGATAAACCAAAGAGCTGCAACAACGGATCCCGGCTCAATAGACTTGAATGTAAATAGTCATGAACTTTGCGAGAGGAATTTTTACATGAATAATCCCAATTTCCTGTCAGATCCACAGGTTACGAAATATAAAATATTCATAACAAAAAGCTGTTTTGTGCCATTTTGGTTAAAACCAATGTCTGAGAAGATAAATGATCACTTAACAGAGAAACTTAATTTTTAAAAAGTAAATGAAAAGTACATGTGTCGTCTCAAGATTTTCAGTGAACTTGAAAAAGAGGGACAAGCATTTCTATTAGGTTAATTGCCACGCACGTACACTCAATATATTTCTGCTGTCAAATTCGAGAGCCCACAATATTCGTGACGATTACCACGGAAATAGCTTATTTCGCGCTAAAAAATTTACTTTAAGATTTCACCATCACGGAAGGTTTCTGAAGGATTCAATGGCTATAATATTTCGTGGATGTAAAGTATATTCAAAGTCCTTCATGAATATTCGAAATAATTGTTCATATAACCACTTCCTATGGTAAGAAATGTATATTGCTTTCTTGAGAGCGGTTTACTCCGTGATTACATGCTAATTGTGATTACTATGGTCCATTCCAGATCTTTTGTCACATAGATTAGGCGGATTAATGAACATTTGGGTCGAATAACTAATTTTCTCTCGAGTGTAATTACTACTCGTTCGTAAGTGGCCAAAAATTGCTTGTACTCGACAGAAGAGTGGGACAACATTCATTGTGATAAGATGAAGTACCTGAACACGGAACTGATTTAATCGTCATTCCGACAATTTTTCACTTTCTGTCGGTACTTGTGTACTCCGAAAACCTATCGATAGAATTCAAAGCGAACTAGGCAAACTTTTTGCATAAAAACTAAGATAACGCTGCCTCCTCTCTTTGTGAAAGGCCTGTCGTTATTTCAGTTCAAGTTAACGTCATTCAAAAGGATTAGTAAAAACAATTTGTTTGTTGAAAAAATTGCCTAAGGCATTTATAATACATGGAATTTTCTGGCGAGAAATTAACCTTTTAACACTGCATGTGGCTGATTAAGATATTAAGAAAGATTTGTCGAGATTTCACGACAGCTCACGGATGTACTCACTGCCGAGAAAAAACTAGAAAGGGCATAATGCTTACACTCCGCCTACAACTCCTTGCTTTCAGCTTTTATAATCGTGCTTTTTTAATTTTTGTCACTAAGAGGAAATATCACTTTGAAATACCTAATGTTTACCAGTCAAAATAAAGATTTTTTTCTTTTTTTTTTTGACTTTTTAAAATCAAATTCGTTGAATTACATTGATTTCAAGTTAAAGACTAAGTTACCGAGCTAACCATTTTTAAAGGGATGAACCGCTTCTAAGAAAATTAGCACGCAGTAAGACAGGAATCGAAGCGACTTACAGATAACTACAATTCGTGCATCCTGAAATATGTAC